TCTTCACAGGTCGTGTGCTTGGGGTTTGTCCAGTGTCTCAGGTCTGCAGGTTTATGGTTTTCATCAAATTTGAACATATTGTGACTGTTTTGCCTCCTCCCCCTCCACCACTTTGGAGCCTCCCGTTTCCTGTGCACTTGGCGGCCGGAAGTCGCCTCACGGCCCAAGAGGCTGTCCCCCAACGGCCAGCGTTGTCCCGACCGCCGGTCCTCCGGTCCCCGTGCCCTTTCCGCACATCCGCTCTGCGGCTGCCCCGCGGACGCCGCGGCGACCGCCCCCGGGAGCCCCGCTCGGCTCTCCCCACACCTTCCACCTCCGCGTGCGCGCCTCGGGCTGACGCCGGTTCTGCTCGGTGTTTCTCCTTGCGGGTGGGGCTTCCTGGCGTTTCTGTGCGCCTGGGAGTCTGTGGGGCTGGACGTTTTTGTATCCTTCCATCTTGGTGCCGTAACTTAGTTTGATCCTTTTGGGTCTCGCCGTTAAGCTTTGCTCGGTGGGTGTGAGGGGCAGCTGTTACGCCGGCGGAGGCGGGGCCTGTGAGCACCCACCGATGGGCCGCCGAGTCCAGAGGCTTCCGGCCGGGCTGCTGGCAGGGACCCTTCCTGCAGCCTATCTGAGCTCCAGGCGTGACTCCCTTTGGTCTGCCCGGGGGTTCCTTCCTCACGCGTGTGCACACACACGCACCCACGTGCCACACTGATCCCCGCTCTGCAGACTCCGTGCGCTCTCCCCTCCAGCTCTGCCCTGTGACCTTGACGCCCTTGGCCAGGATAGGGGAGGAGCCCAGGCGGTGGGGGGGAGTGCAGCCTCTCAAGGGGACCGAGGCCCAGGCTCAGCGCGAGGCTCGGCGGTCACCCACGACCGGTGCCGAAGGGCTGCCAGGGCTGCGAGCACCAGCTACGTGTTCAAGTAAAAAAATTAATTGGCTCCATCTGTGTTGGCCTAATGACTGATTAAATGACCAATCACGGAAGCCTTAATTAAACCCATTTTTCCCCGAGCGAGCAGGGGCGGGGTGGGGGGCAGCTCGCGGCCTGGTGTCGGGCTGGGCATCTTGACTGCACCGTCAATGAGCAATTACGGGCAAGGTCGCGCCGCGGACTCCCGCCCGCCAGCCCGCGGTGGTGGGGGTGGGGGCGCTCCCGGCGCCGCTCCGTCCCACGGCTCGCACTGGGGGCTCCTGGGGGAGGGCGGGCGGGGGCCTTCCGGCGGCCGGCCGCCTCCCGCCACGTTTATGGAGCTGCATCTGAGTTTTGCAGCCGACACTACGTCACCTAACTCAGGAGCTGGTGGGCTCTGTGTCACGTGGTGGAGTTCCGGCGCGTGCCAGGAATGTCTCCCAAGGACGCGGGACGCCCGCGGCCACCACGGGAGCCGACGCCCCCCGGGGAGGCAGGCCCAGCGCCGGGGCACGGTTGACCGGGGCGGGCTCCCTGGCCGCCTGAGGCAGCGGCTTGGGGGCCAGGCTGAGACAACGCAGGGGCTGCTCACCTGGCGGTAGGGAGAGGCCAGAGCCCTGTCCCTGCATGTTCCTGGGGGACCAGGAGAAATGGCTACACCCTCTGTGACCAGGCCAGCCCCCCAACCCTCTCATGTCATCCAGGCCCCTGCGGGGTGTGAACCCCTCACTCCAGGGGCAGGACCCCGGGTGCTGTCCCTGGGCACCCCTCCCCAGGGCGGCCCGCACCCCGAGAGCACGTAGCGAGGGGGACATGTACTGAGGCCCCTGCCCGCACGCCTGCCCGAGACCCCCGGCCCCTCCCCCCACGGGAGCGCCTGCTGGGAGCCCGAGGCCGGCGTCCTTGCTCGGAGAAGCAGAATTGTGCCTGAGGCGGAGAAAGACGGCCACTGTCCTCCCGAGCGCTCAAGTGAACTGAACCGGGATTGCGGCCAACCCCTTCACCCCTGTGCGGACAGAGGCTTTCCGGTCAGGCCGCAGGTCGCCAGCAGGTGTGGGGTGCCGGGGCGGGGCCGTCGGTGCGGTGGCTCCTGGGCGTGGGGGCTCCTGCAGCCCACAGCGCCTCGACCGTGCACATGCCAGGAAGCCCGCGATCCGGCGCTTGGGGGAGACCCGTCGGCGCGGTTTGCGATGAGCCTGTGGGTGTCTGTGTCCCCCGCGGGGTGGCCGGCGGGGCCTGAGACGGGAGTGTCCCGGGGCTGCCGGGAGGCAAGAGGGGCGGGAAAGCCTGCGGTCTGAGGCAGCCGTGCCCACGGTCAGCCTGGCTCTGGGCTGGGCCAGGGGCCGCTGGCGCCTGCGGCCTTCGCTGGGCGGCCGCCTCCCCTCGGTCCTGGGCAGGAGGTCGTCCGGAAGCCGACAGGCAGAATCGTGGTTTGCGATGCGGGTCGGGGACGGCCGGCTGTCCTGGGGTCTGGCCCCGCGGTCTCCGCGGTGGCCGGCACCGGCCTGGCCAGGGCCGGGGGTGGTCGGGGGAGGCCCGAAGGGGCCCCGCACGCCATCGCGGCGGCTGGGCCGGGGGGCCTGCAGCAATGGCCTCCCTGAGGGCGGGCAGGAGGCGGCGCGCGCGCGGACCGGGAGGGGCGGGAGAACGTTGCAGCAGAAACCACCGAGGGTCTGCGCTGGCCGCGGCCCGTGCACCTGTCCCCAGCCCACGTGAGCCCGTGCGCCCGTCACTCACACACTGGCACCGGGGCAGCGGGGCAGCGGGGCATCAGGGGCACCTCCGTCCCCCTGCTCCACCGGGGCCTCCACACGCGGCCCAGCCCCGGCAGAGGCCCTGCCCCGGGGTGGGGGAGGGGCGCCCAGCCGGGAACCCAGGGCCTGGCCGCGCAGGATTCTTCATGCGAGCCAGACGTGGCGTCTGAAGGCCCGAGCACCCCCGGGGTTCTGAGAGTGGGCCGGCGGCTGGGGGGCACGGCTTTCCTGCGGTCCCAAAAGGGGGGCTTCTGGGTCAGGAGCCAGGTTTGGACGCTGGTGCCGACCGCAGGGAGGCCGCGGGCGGGGTCGTCCCGTGGCAGGACCGGGGGAGGCGTGGGGGCTCGGCCGGCTCCCCCATCCTTCCCTGCATGGGGGCCGCGGGCCAAGGCAACACCAGGACCGGTGAGGGGACTCCGGGGCACGAAGCCAAGGGCCCCAGAGGGAGCATTGAGGCCACGGGTTCGCCAACAACAGGGCGTCCGGGCAGCAGGGGCGGCGGGACCTGAAGGAGGCTGAGAACCCGTGACAAGCCGGGAGGCGCGCTGGGGCCCGGGCGCGGCGGTGGGAAGGGGTTCACGTGTCAGCGCTCGGGCGCATCTGTGCGACCAGTGCGCTGCGGGCCCTCCCTGCCCCCCCTCGGCTGGGACCCTGGGCCGGGGAGCCACGCGAGAGCCCGCGGTGAGCAGTCTCTCTGCAGGGCCTCTGTGTTCGGCAACAAGCCCTGCCCCTCGAGGCCGGGCCCCGGGGGGCGTGGCCGCGGGCCGCCGATCACGAGGCCCCTCTCCGAGACGGGGAGCCGTCCAAAACGCACACGACCTTCCGGGGCTGGGAGCCGCCCCGAGCCCCAAGGACAGCGGGCCCCAGGAACCCCCCAGCGGCGCCGCAGGGCCGGAGGACGAGCCATGCTCCCCTGCTTTCTGCAGGCCTCAGCGCAGGGTCCTCGTTTTTGCTGGAGTGAGAGGCCTCCAGGACACGCCCAGTGTCCGAGTTGCCACGGTGACCACCTCAGGTTTGGTTGCTGTGACTCCTGTGCTCGCACGTCCCGGCCCAGACACAGTGTGCGTGGGGCTCCGCGTGGAGTAGGATCTGGGCCCTGTCTTCACGCCTGCACTTCTGCGGTTACTGCGCACAGCGAGCACCCCGTTCAACTCACACGCCGTGACTCAGAGGGACGGCTCTGCGCGGGATCCGGGCCCGCCCGCTGGCGGCACCACGCCCACCGCGAGGGCTCCCGTCCCCTGCCCTTGGCGGCACCGCCACGCCCTCCATGGCAGGTGGGCCCATGGCCCGCTCCTCACTTCCGCCGAATCTCCGGTTTCCCTGGAGTGTGGGAGCAGCGTCGGTGCCCGAGGCCTCTGCGCCTCTGTGGCTGTTTCAGCGCCTCCACCCCCATCCCGGGCGGTGCCCCTGGAGTGCCAGCTTGGCTCCGGGGGGCTGGCAGGCCCCATGCGGGGGTCGGAGCCCTGGCGCCCCACCTGGCCCCTGCTGAGGCTCTCTGTGCCCCCTGGGGGCCGTGTTCTCCGGCGGGGAGGCCCCGTGTCTGTCCAGGGTGCTGGTTTCTCTGGGGGCCTGGGGACTGTTTCCAGGACACCCTGCCCTCAGGTCCCACGGACGGAGGCCAGGGGTGGCCGGGGGCAGGGCTGGCCACTCTGCGGCGGCGGCTGCACCTCGCTCCCCATGGCTCCTGGTGGCTGGGCTCCCGGGGCAGGGAGGCCAGGTCCCGTCCCACCGGAGTGTCCCCGGCCTGTGTGGGTCAGCGGGGGACACGTGCTCCTGAAAGCAGAGGCCAGGGCAGGCTTCCCAGGAGTCCGGCCTCCCTGGGCTGGAAGGGGCGTCAGTGGCAGCAGCCACAGGCGCAGAGACGTGGGCCGCGCCGCCCCACAGGCCACCACCGGCCCCCGCAACTTGTCCGGGGAAAATCTGGCTGGATCCGGACAAGCCTCAGCGTCCTCCGCAGGGCAGGCTGGTGTGGCCCCTGGCGCGGGACCACCTGCAGCGCCCGCAGCACTGAGGAGGCGGGTCCAGAGCGCCAGCCGGCGCTGCCCCGCCCTCGGATTGTCCCTGGGGCAAGTGGCCGCGGGCCCTCTGCCCTGCCTTCCTCAGCCTGTCCAAGCAAGTCCCGAGGGGCCGGCCGCTCGGGGCTGCACCGGGCCCTGGGCCCCCACGGAGAAGCGGGCCCGGCGCCCCGCTCTCCAGGCCGCAGACGCCTGTGCAGCCCCGGGCCGACGGAGGCCCGCCGCGTCCAAGGCCGGGGGACGCCGGGGCAGGCGCGGAGAAGGTGCACGCCTGCGGCCCAGCAGCCGGGGCGCAGGCTGCCACCCCCAACACCCGGGAGGGGCAGCCCCTCCTACCTGCTGTTCCCAGGCGGGTCCTGTGCGGCGGGCGTCCCCGTCCTGGGGCCCAGGCCACCCCTGGGCCTGCCGCACGCCTCCTGCAGGGAGCAGAGGGCAGGTGCTGGGGGGCCCTCGTGGCTCCCCTCCGTGCACCCCGACAGTCGGCTACAGGGTTGGGCAGCGTGTGGATTCGCCACGGGGGTCCCCCGCCCCTACCTCGCGCAGGCCGTCCAGCAACGGAACGGGGCAGTACCCGGGCGGAGGGGGCCCGAGGCGGACGTCCGGGAACTCGGCGCGGCCACGCTCCGCCTGCCGGCAGCCATCCGGGCAATGGGCCCGGCGCCCCCCTGCGAGAAGAGAGAGTTTCCCCCAGGAAAATGAGCTAAAGGCCCTTTGAGTGTCACAAAGCAGCGACCAGAGAGGCCCCTCCACGTGGGCCAGAGGGCGGGGCCGGCACTGGTTCCTCCGGCCCTGAGCACCAGCGCCAGGTGAGAGGCAGGGGCGGGGCCAGGCCAGGGCCGCGCTAGGTCCTGGCGACCCCGGGGTCCCCAGTGTGGACAGGCAGGCCCCCCACGGGTGCGGTTCGGGGCCCCTCGCTGCGGCCCACCCTCGGGGCCTGGTGGGTCTCCGGTGTGCAGCCCCCTGGCCGGGCCCCGATCAGAGGCGCCTGGCTCAGCCGGCGGAGCCCTGCGCCCTCTTTTGAGTGCAGTGTGGCAGGAAGGACTTTCCACGGGCTGCATGTGGTAGGGGCTCAGGCCACACCCACAGCAAGTCACAGCGTCGCGAAGCCATGAGGGCCCGCAGCCCCCAGGAGACCCTGATATCCTCAGCGGCCCCCAAGGGTGGAAGGCGGGGCGGGGCCTGCCTGTCGCTGCAGTGGGCGCCCTGCGGGGGCCCCGCCCCTCCCAGGGGTCCCCAGGGCCCTGGGGCCTTCTCTCCTGGTGGCTGCCCCAGGCTCCGCCCCGTGGGCAGAAGGGCCTGCAGCCCCGGCCACCGCCGCCCCCCGCCAACCCCTCCCACGGACTCTGGGACAGGACGGTGAAGACCGTGAGGTGAGCCTGGTGCTGGGGCCGCCCCGGGGCCGCCCCTGCCACACACGCACGGCAGGGCAGCCGTCCTCTGCCCCCAGGCCCCTGGCCCGCTCAGGCACGGCGTCAGGGAGGGGTTGCCTGGCCAGGGGCAAGGCTGGAGCGTCGGGGAGGGGCTGGACGTTCCTCGGGCTGACAGGGTTGGGGCGAGGGGGGCAGGCGTGCGGCCCCATGGGCTGGACGCGGCCCCGGGAACACGGCGCCGGCCCCCCCGGGACGGCACTCTGGGGGTGTATGGTGACGGGCCCAACAAGCGTTTCCCAGCTGCTTCTCTCGGAGGGGCCCCAGTTTCTCTGCTCTGGTGCGTTCTACACAGTCGGGCCCCCCCCCCCCCGCCCGTGCAAGGGCGCTGCTCGGCTCCGTCCCCCGCCGCTGGCCTTGGCTGCGCGTGCGCCGGTCACATCCTGGGTGGTCATGGGGAACCGGCTGCCCTCGGCCTGCAGGGGCCTCCCGTGGGCCCGTCGGGACGGCACAGACCGCAGCTCCGTGCCCTGGAGCCCCGCTGCCGAGGCGGCCGCGCCACTGGGGGCGGAGATGCCGGGGCCGCCCCTCCTCCAACGGCAGCGACCTCAGACCTGGGGTCACGCGCCACCTCCAGGGTGTGTGAACCACCATCCCCCAAAGCAGCCTGGAGCGGCCGCCTCCCTTGAGCTCAGCTCTCGACTCGGGGCGGGCGCCTCAGCACCAACGCGTCCGCCGGCTGCCGACGCGGGGCCGCACACCTGGCCGCCTGTCTGCCGCCCACGTGTGGGTCCCCGCACTTCCCCGCCATTGGTGCCTCCTGCCGTTCCTGCGGTTCCGTTCCATTCGGCCTTCAGAACGCAGTCCCTCGCCGCCACCGCGACCCCTCGGCCCCAGCACTTCTGCCTGACGACGGCTCAGGGAAGCCAGGCCACCCCCCTCGCTGCCCCCGGGCATGGTCAGCCGGTCAGGCTCCGGCCGCCTCGGGCCACACACGCTGGCCCTCCCGTTCGGGCGGCTGCCCTACTGCCTCGTGGTCCGTCCGGTGGCCACCCTGCGGGTGCGGTGCAGCCCGGCGGCGGCGGCGGCGTGGAACGTGGGGGGGCGGGTGGTGTCGGGGCCCGGCGGAGACACGGGGCGGCCCAGGGGCAGGGGCAGCGCTGGGGGTGGGGGTGGCGGTGGCAGCGGGGCTCCCGTGGTTCAATACCCACCCGAGGCTGCGCCCGCTCCGCTCCGCCCAGGGGCGGGGCCATGGCCCGCCCGAGGCTTCTCTGCATTTGTGGACGGTCCCTGTGTCCACGTCCTGGGCCAGCGTCCCCACCCTGGACGGCAGCACCCAGGGCCCTGCTTGCTCCCTGGCTCGGCAGCCCTGGCAGCCTTTCCTGCTGCCCCGCCCCAACCCCGTCACGGATGCCACTGTGTCCCACCCGGTTCCCACCCCGGCTGCTGCTCGGCCTCCCCCTCCTCCTGGTTGCTCGGCCAGGAACACGGCGACGCCCGCGTTTGGCCCCCCGTCCTGGTCTCTCCGCAGCCCCATCCTGGGGCCCAGGCCGCCGCCTGGCTGCTGGGCCCCGGCTCCCGGGCCTCCACCTCACATGCTCTGGCAGGGGGTTCCCAGCGCCCCCTCTCCTGCAGCCCGGGCCACACCCTGCCCTGCTCACGCTCCAGGTCCCGAGGCTCACCCCCCGACCTGGGGCCCTCGCCCCCTCGCCCCCTCGCCCTCTCCCCCGCGGGCACGCCTGGTCCCTCGGGGCCGAGCCACAAAGGGGAAGCGGCTGAGGTCTGCGAGCAGGTTCCACCGGAGAAGTCAGACCCGAGTCCTGGTACAAGGCCCCGCTGCCTGGACCCCGTGCCCGCCGGCGGGCTGGGTGCGGGCCTGCGGGCTCCGTGGCCCCTGAGCGGCCGCTCAAGAGGGCAGATGGTCCCGCCCTGCCTGCCGCGGTCTGAGCGTTTCTGCGCGTTTCTGGGGAGCCCCGCCAGGCCCCCTGTGCCAAGGCCCAGCTCTGGCGCTCGGGGGACGTCGACTCTGACGGTGGCCGTTGCAGCCCGTGAATGAGAGGGAGGTTGCTGCCCCGCCCCGCCGGGGGGACGCCGCGGACAGAGGCTGGGCTGCAGGGCGATCGGGCGCCTTGACCTCCCCGGGACGGAACTGTCTATTAATTATCTCTTAACAGCCAACTCAATTAGGCTCCCCAGTCACCTGTGTAGGACAAGGCCACGGCAGAGAAGCCACCGGAATAAACAAGGCTCGAGGGGCCGGCCATCGCCACGAGGGGCTCGCGCGGGCCAGGACCGCGCAGCGACAGGCCTGAACGCCCTCTTCACTCCGGCGAGTCCGCACAGTGCTGTTGGCCCCAAGGGGGCGAGGGCTGGTGTTTGGAGGTGACAGGCACGCCCCATTAGTCCTGAGGGCAGGCCCGCCGCCCCGTTCCGCCCCCCCCGCCCCCCGTCTGCGCGCGAGGACATGCGAGGCCATGGGGGCTGGGCCTCCAGCCCCTGCGGGGGGGGCGGGGAGGGAGGCCCGAGAACCCCGTGGGGCCCAGGCCTCGCTGCCCGGCCCCCTCACCAGGCAGCCGAGCCGGGAACTGCTGTCCTCTGCTGCGTCCCCGGCTGTGGGGCCCGTGGGCCTCCCACATGGGGGGAGTGTGCACATGCGCGCGCACAGATAGGCACACGCACACACATATGCACGGATGTACACATGTACACTCACACACGCGCTCACACACTCCCTAAGAACCTTCTCGCCGGCTGAGCTCTCCCCGCCCTCGGCCCCGCAGTCCGCAGACCCCGGGGACAGGCGGGGGGACAGGCGCTGGGTCCGCACAGGGGCCGCCGCTGCCTGCACTGGGAACCAGCCAGGAGCGCGTGGGGCGACGGGACACGCCCCCGCCCTGTCCCTCGGAGCCGGCTGGGCGGCCCCTGGGGAGGGTCCCTCAGCAGCAGGGCCTGGGGCGCGCGTGTCCCGGGCACACAGATGACAGTGACACAGAAACGCCACGCCCTGGGGGGTGCCCCTCGGAGCCCCTTGCAGCTCCCAGGGGCAGGGGAGGGGCAGGCTGTCCTGGCGGCCGACGAGGGGAGCGGCGTGAGGGCCGAGGGCCCCCGAGCCCCACCGGTGACCGGTGACCGGCGACCGGTGACCGGATGGGGCTCCCTCCCCCATCCCGCCATCCTGACCCCGGCCTGGGCCTGCTCCGCAGCTCGCTGGGCGCCCCCCGTGCCTGCCTCCCCTTCCTTTCCTGAAGCATGGAAAACGGATCCGACACAGAGCCGCTGTCCCCACGGGCCCACGCGCCCTCTGCGCTCAGAGGAGCGAGGACACTGTGTGCGCCTGTGGCTGGAGCTCCCGATGGCTGCGCTGTCCCCGCTCCCAAAAGTTTCCCCGCGAGGAGCCGCCTGTCCGCTTGCGCCAAGCTCGGCTGAAGCCCCTTCCGAGACCTGGCGCCGTACCCCCGCCCCAGGGTGCCCGGCTCTCAGTTCCTGCCCGCGGGCGCTCTGACGCGCTGGAATCGAACGTGGAACTCGAAAGGGGACGAGTTTCACTGGCGAGTCTCCAAGAACAGGGACTGATTTGGGGTCTTTCCGAGTCTGTTTCTGCCGCCTGCCCCTCCTCCCCTCAGGAGGCTCCTCCGTCAAGCTGTTTGCTCTCAGGCCGCCGGGATGGGTCCCCGGGCTGGGGACGCCCGTCCTGCAGGGCCAGGCTCCCCGAGGGGCCCGCCGGCCCGGTCTGCCCGGCCGCGGGTTGCAGGCAGGACAGCAGGCAGCCGGCCGGCAGCCCTGCGTTTGCTCTTCTTGTCTGGCAGAGGTGGCCCAGCCACCGAGCCGCAGCCCGTCCTGGGCAGAGGAGGAGCGGGAGGCGCAGGTGGCCTCCCTCGTGGCCGCTAGATGACAGGACATGGGGGCTGGACGTTGCAGCGGCCGCAGGCTCCGCTTGTGTGTGAGTCACGGCTGGAGGCTGCGTGCGAGGGCCTCTGCCGGGGCCGCCTCCTTCCCTTGCTTAGAAGTTGCTCCGTTGGCCTGGTCCTGGCGGCTCTCAGACGGCCCCGGGCAGAGGCATCAGGGACCATGAGGTGGCCTGAGGTGGGGCAGCCGGCGGCCGCTCTCCAACGTGAGGGCCACCTGCAGGGAGAGGGCACGGGGCCCCACGTGTGGGCTGCGTGAGGTCTAAGGTCTCCAGGCAGCAGCCTTGGGCTGCGGGTTTGTGCTTCTGTTCACAAAAGGACCCGTTGCTCCCCCTCCCTCAGCGAGAGAAGGGGGTGTCGGCCGCTGCGTTAGGGGGATGTGCACAGACGCCGGCTCCCGCGAGGAGGCCGCTGGGTCCGTGAGCTCGTGGCTGAGGCAGGGCGGGGCCTGGCTGCCGGCCACCGGGGAGCATCCCCACACCCTCGCCGGGCACAGGTGCCCGAGGCCCTGGCCAGGCCAAGAGGGGGCGACCGTGGCGGCCGCTGCTGCAGACACGCCTGGGTCCCTGCCGGGTCAGTCCCTTCTAAGACGCCTCTGCCTGTGGCGTGTGTGCAGGGACCTCCCGGAAGCACATCCACAGGGGCCAGAGTCACGCAGAGCCCCAGGTGCCCGGCCGCCTCCCTTGTCCCTCTCTCTAGGGTCCCGAGGCTTCTCCCCACAGCGGTCGCCTAAGACCCGCTGTGAGGGGCTGGACGTGGCTCCTGCCCGCTGGCTGCGCCCACGTGGCACGGGGCTCACGGAAGCAGGGGCTCCGGGTCCCAGACCAGGCTCCGGGGAGGAGGCGGCAGCGGGGACGCTCCATCAGACCCACCGCCCTGCAGACAGGCTCCCCTCCTCCCTGGAGCCCCCTGAACGCAGGGGCAGCGGCCGGGCGAAGAGCCCAGCGTCCTGGACGGTTGGGGGAAGGCAGGGACGCGGCCGGGCGCTGTGGTCTCGGGAGCCTGCGGCGCCTGGCTCTAGGCTGCTGCCCCTCACACCTGGCATCTGAGCTCACGCCCGCTGTCCCGGCTGGGCTGGCCCCAGGCGCCGCGCGGCACCTTCCCGCCCTTTTGGGGGTCGGCCCCTCTGCGTGGTACGATTCCAGGACCAGAAATTCATAGCACAGTTTTTCCTTGAAAACTGCAGACCTGCCCCCTCTCTGCCATGATTAACTGTAGACAATTAGCGTGAAAACGCGGTCCCGCCGCGAGACGAGAGGCGGTGACATTGCCACCCGTTCCCCACGACACAGCCCGCCAGTTTTATTGGCAGGATGGGTTTAGCGGCGAAGGGCACCTTGATTTTTGAAATTGTCTCAATTACGGGCACTTCTCAGATCCCGTCTGATGCATGCGCGGAACCGTGTGCTCCACACACGAAAAAGAGAACTGCTCAGCTCCACTGGAAACATTTCCTGGGAGGGTTCGGTGCATTCAAAAGAAAAAGGAGAAGCAGCAGCTGTGGTCCTCTCTCTGGCTACGGCTTTTTAGGTTCCCAGGCCCAGTCTGCGGGGGCCTGGCCCGCCCGACAGGCCCCGGGCCGCTGCCGCTCCTGCGCGGGGCTCCGTGGCCGGGGTCAGAGGCAGGGCCCCGGGGACAGCGGCGCACATGAAAGGCCCCCCCGTGTGGAGCTGCGGGTGGGAATCACCAAAGGTTAACAGACTAAATATAAAAATCTTTCTGAATATAAAATCAATGTGATTGTCGCTACAATCCGGGTGCTGGAGTTAAACCAGAGTCGGGTTTAGAACATCTGGCGATAGTCCACGTCTAGGAAATCGCCTTCTCTTCCCAGTGAAAGTTAGAAACAAACAGCTGAAATGCTTCGTAGCAACAGAGCAGCGAAGCGCAGGTTTGCGACCACAGGCACTGACGCCAGGCCTCTGGGAAGATGCTGTTTCTCTTCGCCCTGCATTTGCTTGTATAATCGGAAACCCAATTTTTAGAGGGTTTATATTCTGAATTGCCTGTCGGGTGGGGGAGGAAGGACTTCGGGCCGAGAGCCTGGCCCCAGCGGGCGTGGGGGGCGGCCAGCTCCGGCGGGGGGGGTGCTGGGTGGGCCCCGCGGGCGGGCGGGCTCCGTAGCTCCTCTCCTCTGTGCACGGAGGCGCCGGGCTCCACCGCTCCGGGTTCTGAAGCCCCGGAGGGACCATCGGAGAGACCCGGGGCTGCGGTGGGGCGGGGGCGCGAGTGGTGGGGACACTCAGGTCCCCGCATCTGCGCCGACCTCCTGGGACGAGCTCCACGCACCCCGAGCTGCCAGCACCTGAGCTCCAGAGTGCGGAGGAGGAGTGCGGGGAATCGCTTGAACTGCGCGACATGACATGGGCCCACTCCGCCCCCTCTCCTTTCCCCTCCGCTTCCCCCTCCTCCGGTGCTAAGAAGGAGCGCCCCCCACTGCTCGCAAGTTTGTGTCGGAGGTCCGCCGGAACATTCTGGTGGACGGAGGTGTCCCTTCCAGGTGGTCCTCACAGCGGTGGGCGGCTGCACGGCCCCACTTGTCTGGTGGTCCCTGCCTGTGCCCCGTGCTGACCACCAGGGTCCCATGGGGATGCCTCGGATGGCAGCTCGGGGGACAGGCCCCGTGGCTCCGCCTCCACCGTCAGGGCCTGGGCCGGGACCCGGAGCCCGAGAGCCGGGGGTCACCTGTCCAGGCCCAGGTGGCAGCCACGGAGCCCTGCTGCTCGTCTCTGGCAGGGCGTGGGGCGCCGGCGCCTCACCCACAACACTCGCACGGCAGCCTATCCCCGCCCTGCCCCGCCCCCGGGGCCAGCTGCACCCCGGGGCCCTCGTGAGCCGGAAACACTGTCCGTCCCCACGCTCCCTGCTGGTTGGACGGACCAGCCACTTGCCACTGACTGACGTCCACGGTGGCGCTAGAGGGAGAGACGGCATGCGCGGCGGGTCGCACGCAGGTCGCGCCTCCCCGGCAGGTGCGGGTCGGGGGGGTGCAGAGTAGGGCGCTGGCCCCCTGCCCCCTGGGCCGTCCGCCAGGGGCAGCAGGTGTCCACGCCCCTGCCGCTGCATGTGTTCCCCGGGGGCTGTGCACCCGGCGGGGCCCAGGAGCGCCGGCCGACGGCGCGTTTCTCATTTGAGTTTCCAGAGCATGTGGCGAAGATGGTCGCCTGACACGGAACATCCACTCTCCCTGCTTCTAAGTTACAGAACCGGGTTTTGGCTGGCAAGTTGCGTTTCCTGCCTCCCTGTGGCCTGGCGAGGTGTAGCACCCAGGAAGGCCTCAAGCTTCCCCCGCTGCTAGCTGGAATAGGGGCGTGAGGGCTGGTGCATGCGCAGCCCTCCAGGGCCACAGGGGCTCCTGGCGATGGTCGGGGGGCCTGTCCCTGCCTCTGAACTGCAGGGCGAGCAGTAGAGGCGGGCGGAGCCCTCCCTCATCGCAGCCGTGACTGTCTCCGGATCTCTCCTGCCCCTGGCCGCCGTCCTCCCAGCAGCAGGGCAGAAAGTCGCCGCGACCTCGTTTCCTCTGCAGAACCGCGCCCGGGGGCCGGCACATCCGAGTCCCAGGGCTGACAGAGCCCCCGAGTGTGAAGCACTCGGGCACGGGCGGGGCGAAGGGCCGTGTGTCTTCCAGTGGGGAGCCTGCGGCGGGAGTGGTTGGCCCTGCCGAGCGTTTGGGGTGAGCTGCCCCACCAGGGAGATCCTGGCTTTAAGAGACTAAAACGCAGAAAGGGGCCCCCTCTGCTCCCCGTGGCAGGGGCTGCGGGGTCAGCCCTCCTGGAGGCAGACGCGGCTGCAGCCTCACTTTGCAGAGGAAACCGAGGCACAGGGACATTCAAGTCGAAGACGGTGGAGAAACAGCAGCAGGGCCTGCCTCCCCGCGTCGGTCCCAGGCGCACGTCGGGGCGGGGGGCGCAGGGCCCTCTGACACCGCCTCCAGCCTCCGCGTGGCCGTGATTTCGGCAGGCACTGAGCCACCTGCGGCTCCAGCCGCGCGGGTCTCAGCCAGCTGACACCCGGTCCCCCGCGCCGCCCCCACACCGCCTCCTGGGGCACTCGGCTGGGGCCAGGCTCCGCACCCTGTCAGGAGGCAGCCCGGGGGCAGGCGCACAGCTCGGCGCAGGGGAAATCGCCCCGACGCCCCGAGGAGAAAGCGGTCGCGGGGCCGGCCCCCCTAAGAGACCCCCTGGACCAGCTGCCCCCAGAAACGCGCCCCTGGGAGAGGACCAGACCCCCACCGTCCCTCGTGCAGGGTCGGGCCAGAGGCCACGTACTTCGGCCCAGCCCTGTGACTCCTGCCGCGCCCCGGGCTGCGAGGGCGAGGGACTCTTCAAAGGGCTGAGGGGAGTGTGGCGGCCCCCAACCCTGTGCATGTGTGAGCCTGCCCCGGGGGGGAAGTGGGGCCCCCGTCACGGGCCGCCCGCTCTGCACGGCGCAGGACGGGAAGCGTGGCCGGGACGCCCTCAGGCTGCGTGTTCAGCCGCGGGGGGCAGAGGGCCCAGGGTCCCTCGCGGCGGCGACACTTGGGCTCCCAGCTCCAGCACCCGGTGTCCGGGAATAATCCTTGGCGAAGCCGTTCATGCCTGGCTGGTGGGGGTAGGGGCTGCGCTGGGCCCCGGAGCCACATCTCCTTGGGGAATCGGGGGCCGAGCCTCCGCGGAGATGCCGACCGGACAGGAGAGGAATCGGCGGGGAGACCGGGGGTCGGGCGACACCATCAGGGCCGCGGGCCCACAGGCCCACGCGGAGCAGGGGCGATGGGCGTCCACTTGGGCCGACCCCAGGCCTCCTGCGGGCCCCGGAAGCAGCCGGGCTCCGGCCGCCCGGGGGCTGCACCACGGACAGGCTCGCGGAAAACGCGCGGAGCGGACCCGTGCGGCATTCGCCCAGGGGCCGGATCTGCCGCGGCAGCGGTGCCAGGGGCCCCCCGCACTCCGAGCGCCCGGACACCATGGTGGGCAGCTCCCACCTGCCGTCGCACCCACTGCAAGGCCCTGGCGGGGGGGCGGCGTCCTGTGCTCTCCGGCAGGGTCTGTGGGCCGGGGCACGGCCTCGCCGGGACGTCCTGACCCCCAGGCCCACGGCGCCCAGGCCGGGTGCCTGCCGTCGCTGACGCGCCGCCCACTGCTCACGGCGCAGCCACCTCCACTCACCGGGCAGGCCGCCGGGGACGTCCCCCTGGCCACGCGAGGCGTCTGATGGCAGCGTCACCTCCCGGTCTCCGGCGCTTTCCAGGGCGGTGCAGGGCTCCAGGCCGCCAGGCGCGGGGCTCCACAGCGGGTGGGTGACGCACTCAAACCCCCTGTGGGGGGGACCGGCGGGCGGGCTCAGCTTGCCTCCCGGGGGGTCGCCTGGCCCTTGCTCCCGCCGCCCAGTGCCCACTGCCTGCCTTTTTCCCTCCCTCCGGACAGCACGTTGCGCCTGCTGGTCCCTGCCGTGCCCCCAGTGCCAGGGGAAGCTGTTCAGGCCCCTCCTTCTTGACACTGAGGAAGCCCCCCCACCCCCCACGGGGTTGGCCCAGTCACCCCGACTCACAACGGGGTCTGGATGGGCGCCTCCCGTCTGCCCTCGTCCACTTGGGAGCAGCTGGCCTCCGAGTGGGCTGGGAGCCGCTCTTCCCTGACGCCCGCGGAGATCCTCAAAACCCGGCCGTCCTCGCCTTCCGGGAGGAGGGAGAAGCACAGTGTGCCCAGGGACAGGAGGGGCGGCCCCGGGGCCCCCTTTCCTCCCCGGGGCTCCGGGTGCTGCGGGGCCTCCACCTGAGCCACCGACCCCACCCGCCTCTGCCCCTCTGGGCCCTCAGAGGAGCCGTCCCACACTGCCCCCGCCCTGAGCCGGCTCCGGGCCCAGGGCGCCCGCTGCGCCTCTGGCGCGGCCCGTCCCGAAGGGAGGGCATCTGCTGGCCTCGAGCAGAGCCACGTGGCTTGCCTTCGTTGGGGGCCTGGCCACCGGGGCCTCGCCCTCCTTACCCACCTCCCACCCTGATCCAGGGACGGCCGTCCCACCTGCCCACGCCCTGCGGCGCCCAGCACAGGGCCGGGCCCCAGGGCTCGGGGCTCAGGGTCCGATGGAGACGGAGGGTCCGTGGCAGCCACTGACCGGCGCCAGTGAGGCCTGTCTCCCAGCACCCGTGACGCTAAGATCTGGGGAAGACGCAGCTGGGCAAACCCGGAAGGGACTTTGACTCGGAAGGAAGTGGAGCCACGTGTGGCGTAAACCAGCTCCGGCCCAATCATCTGCCGTGTCAGGTCAAGATGGAGCCGGCGGGGCCGGTCTGCTCTCCTGCTGCCAGCAGCCAAGAAGGCACGTGACAGGGACAGCGGTCCCCGAGGTCCTGGGCACCAGGCAGGACGAGGCCCCACCAGGTGGGGAATGGGCTGCGAGGCCCTGTTTGTTGGCGGGGGGTCTGCCCCCGCAGTTGCAGGGTGGGGCGGGGTGGGGGGCCTGTCTGAGCGCTCGCTCCCTGCTGGGAAGGGCCGAGGGGCGCCAGGGGGTCTGCCCCCGCAGGGCTGGCCGGGTCACAGAAGAGAGCAGCCCAGACGGCGGGGCCTGCCCCCGCGCGGCCACCCTGGAGGACGAGGGCCGCCGCCGTGGCTGAGCCGGGCCTGCGCGCACGCACACACACGTGGCTTCCCGTCTGAGAGCCCGGCGCCCGTTGGCCGCTCTGGGAAGGCCGGCTGCCCCCGGGGGCGGGCGAGCCGGCGGCCGCGGGCACCTCCTCCGGGTCCAGGATCACGGCCCGCGTGGCTGGTGCTGCGAGAGAGCGCAGGCGGCGGCATGGGCGCTGGGGCCCTGGGACCCCCCGCCCGGCGGGTCTCTCCCCTGCGGGGGGGCCACCCCGTGCGCCGCAGGGGTGTGCAGGCTGCCGTCCCTGCCCCGAGAAGCGGCCCGGGCACCACTGAGGCTGACGGGGCTGCCGCTGCCGGGCCTGGGGCCATCCTCCGAAGCGGCTCCTTGCAGAGCAAACCCGACCGGGAAGCAGGCTGCACAGGGTCCCCGGGGGCGGGGGCGGCCGGCCAACTCTGACAGCGGAGGCGAGGCCGCGCCGCGCCCAGGGGTCCGCCCGGCCCAGCAGGTGCCCCCTGGGCTGGGGCAGTCGTCAGTGGGGCCCCGCGGCCGCTCCCCGCCAAGGGTGCTGGGGGCCCTGAGGTGCGGGGCAGCACCTCGCGCTGAGACTCGCAGGTGGGGAGCCACTGTAATGCTCGGGGGCAACACGGCGGGGCAGGCAGCCCCCCGAGGAGGCCCCTGCAGGCCGCTGGCCACCCCTGCCCACGTCACAGAGCTGGAGGGGGGCAGGCCGGAGGCCGGAGGCTGCAGAGGCTCAGGCCCCGGGGTGGGAGGCCCGTGATGGGGGGCGCGAGGCTGGGGACCCCGCGTGTTGCCGGCCCTCCGGAGCCACGCGGACACGCGCTTCCCGAGCAGGACCCCACCTTCCACTTCATCCCAGCCCCTCCTCCGCGGGCCCACCCCGTCCTCGTGACTTGAGAAAACGCAGCCAGGCCGGCCCCGGCCCCGGCCCCAGGGAGGAACCTCGCCAGGCCAGGGGGTGTGGGGAAGGCGGGGCACCTACCTGCCGGGTGGCCGTTGATCCACATCCCGTGGTAGACGACCCCGGAGCTGTGGGTCATGCTGCCCAGGCCACTGAAGACGTCGCTGTGCCACTGTCCCTGCAGGGAGAGCCTGGGGTCGGACAGGTTCCGCGCTGCCCCGCACGAGGGCCCCGGGGGCCGGAGGCTGGAAGCTCAGCCGTCCCTGGGGCGGGAACTCGCCCTGCCTTTGGACGCGCTGCGCCGTGCCCTGCAGAGCACACTCCCCTTGGAATGTCAAGACGCCAGGAAGTTTGGGAACAACGGCATGGCACAAAGGACAAAGGAAACACCCGCTGGAAGGGCCCGCTTCTCGGCAGAAAAGTCCTTTAATAAGAGAGGCCGCGTCTGTGCCGATCACGGGGCCCAGGAGCCGCGGGGAGCATTTGCCCCTGGGAGCTGAGACCCGCGGGAGCCCACACAGCCACGCGCCCCGGAGAGGCCGCCCCTGCCCCCCGCGCCCCGCCGGCGCGGCCGCCCCGTAAGGAGCCTCTCCTTCTCAGCGGCACACACAGCAGAGGGGGAGGACAACGGGAAATAGCAGGAAAATTATTTTTGTGGAAAATTTCAAGATCCTAGGAGCCTTTTATTTGACGACAAATATGCTTCTATTAGAAGAAAACGTAGCCAACAGTGTGTTCGGCTGCACTCGCTCTCCTCCGGCGGGGGCTCCCGGGCCCGATTCCCATGCTGCCCACGGGCCGCGGCCCCGATGGAACTGCAGGCCGGGGAGAGACGCATGGGGGGAGCGCCTCCGGCCCAGCTGCCCCGGGAGTGGCCAGTGCGCAGGGGCCTGCAGACCGGCCCCTGCAAGCTGCGCCCTGAAGAGCTGCCCAGCAAACCGGCTCTAAGTGCGCTCAGCCAAGTGCCCCGCTGGGGCGGGGCCGTGCCGGGGCCCCTGTGCCGTCGCTGTGCCCTCTGGTTACCAAGGACAGGCACCCGAGCTGGGCCGTGGCGCCGATCTGGGGGAGCACGGAGTCAGGGCTTTAACAGGGACCTGAGCCGGGCGACACGTTCCAGTGAGCAACGTCACAACAGCAGCCTGGACCCTTCTAACGAATGTCGTAAGTCACATCTGGCAAACGTCGGCCCTTTCTCAGTTATCTGACGCGTCCCCGAAGCGTCACCGGCTGCGGGCCGAGGGATGAACGCGTTGTGGCGCGGAGGCCGGCTGGGCGGGGCGTGCCTCACCGGACCAGACAGGAGGGTCGCAGGCACCCCAACGCTTTCGCTCCGCCCTGCCCGGGCGAGGCCAGGCGGGGACCCCTGTGCGGCTGGAGTGATGCAGGTGGGACCGAGGGGTCGGGGACACGCTCTCGCAGGTAACCTGAGGTGCTCCTTGCCACGTCCCCATCCCTGTCCCCGCCGGCTCGGCCACTGGGCTGTCCGGGCATCGCAAGGCAGAGGCTGAGCCTCCGGCCGGCCCATGTCCCCCGCTTTGACAGCCTTCGCTTCCCCGCGCTGGGCGCGGTGGAGGACTCCGTGGGGGCTTCCTCGCTCCAGGTGCTTTGGAGTAAACTGTCAGAACGAGGTCCTGGACCCTCCCCATTCAGGCAGCATCCCCAGCTGACGGGGGCTGCTCTTCTCTCTGAGAGAGAGTCCCCGCCCTGGGCGGGCCCGACCCTGCCCCTACTCGGCACCGGCGGCTCGCCAGTCGCCCCCTCCCGCCCTCGCTGGGGCGCCGGGGCCCATTCCTCGGGGTCTGTCCGCGTTGGAGGACGCGGCTCTCCCACCATCGCCAGACCGCAGGCCTGAGGAGGCGAGGACCTTCTGTGGGGTCGCGGGCTCGCAGGTGGGGAGGCCTGGGGTCAGGTCACATGTGAGGATGTGGCCCCAGCCACTGGGGTGGGCGGTGCGACTGCCCAGCTTCCAGGCATGTCGTGTCTGTGGCCTCTCCGTGGGCAAGCCTGGCCCTAAGTTCCTCGGGCGTCAAAGGGTGCACCGTGCCAAGTTTGGCCGAGGCAAGTACAAGCTGCCTTCTTGTGTCGGGTGTGACATCGCAGACACCGAATCCCCCAGGGAACGTGGGGCCGGGCAGGGTCCCAGGGTGACCGGGCAGCCCAGACCCTCCTCCCCGAGACGCTCGCACCGGCCCGGAAGCTGCCCACAGGTCTGTGCGCGAGGCGCCCCGCGGGACACAGCCCCCCATTCCTGGGCTGGGGTCTCCTGGCCCGAGGTCGGTGACACGGCACCCGGAGGCCCCGAGACGCACCGCGGCGGAGCAGGCAGGGGCGCGGGCAGTGGGAGGCGGTGAGGCTGCCCGGCGCCCCAGACAGCGGGCCTCCGCCCGAGTAAGGCAGCTGCGGCGGGGACCGCACTGCAGCGGCACCGGCGTGGCTCTCCCGCCCCTCGCACCCCCGGGCTGCTGCCCCCACAGGCACACGGAGCGGGTCCCCGTGTGGTGCGCTCCGAGGGGCTGCCTCTGCCCGGGGGGCCACCGAGCTCCAGCCACGTCGTCGAGAGGAGCTATTGAGCTCACTGCCTCTGCGCCCGGCACACATGTCCCCGTGCCCCTGGGAAGGGGAGACAGCGTGAAAGGTCTGCGAGGTGCACAGACAGACACCGGGGCGACGCCCACAGGACCCCCGCGGGGGAGCGGGCATGCGCCCCAAGAGCGGCGGCTCTACACACCGGCGGCCCCGCCAAGGGAGACGCCACAGGAGCACGAGGCACTGCCCCCCCGGGGTCCGGTCGACGCCCCGTGACGACCGCGTCTCCCTGGAGGTGCTGGCACGGCTCACGGCCACCAAGCGGTGGCGACAGCCCAGTCTGTGCGGGATGGCCACACGCGCGGGTCCGTCCACACGGGGGAGGCTCACTCAGCCTTCCAGAGGAAGGAAGCCGTGACGCGCGAGGACGTCATGCTGAGTGACGTGAGCCCGGCGCAGGAGGACACAGACCACGTGCCTCCTCTCCCAGGAGGCCCCCCAGGAGCCAGGCCCGCAGCGACAGCGCTGACGGCGGTGGCGGCCGGCGACACTGGGAGTGCGGAGTCCCCGCGCTGCGCCCTCACGCATCCCTGCGGTGAGTGCGGCGTGATGCGTGTTTTACACCAAAGACCTTGAAATGGGGCCAAGCATCCCTTCACACCGGCGGGGGAGTCAGACCCAGGCCCAGGAGGCCGCCCCATGGCACGGAGGTGCCAGCGTGGAGACGGGGCGCAGAGGGCGGCCGTCGCCCCGCCCCGCCCAGCCGAGCCCGCCCGCCGCCCGCGCACGGCCCTCGCCCGCTGCTCCCGCGGAGGGCGGGCGGGTGGGGGTCCCTGCCTCGCACAGCGGCCGTGCCAAGGATCCTGGCCGGCTGGAGGCAGGCCTGGCAGCCCAGTGTGCGCTGCGCCCGAGGGCATCCCGGGGACACAGGGCGGGTCCCACGACGTCGGCCTTTCTCCACACACCCCGCGTCCATCTCAAAAGGCGGCTGGGGTGCCGAGGAATCCAGCGGCTGACCCCAGCGCGGGTCCCCCGACCCGGACCTGTGCGCCCGGCTCAGGTCTCCTGGTTGCTGTCCATACAGCCGGTGACGGCGGCTGCTTCGGTCCTCACCTCTGCTTGCTGGCAGGGACCCAAGCACCCAAGACAGAAGCCTGGAGCCACCCACACGCCCCGGGGGCGGCATGTCCCGGCCTCAGAGCGTAGCTGGGTTGCCCGTCTGTGCACGAGGGTCACAAGATGGGGACACCACTGGGCAGCGTTTGAATCCAGGGAGGACAGTGTTGGAATCCAGGGAGATGTGGCACAGAAGACTGGGCCTCCACACAGGAGGGACACATGCTCACCGGACAGGCGCCCCAAGCCGGTGACACCGCGGCCTCCCGGGAGGGCCTGCTGGGACCCCGGGGTCTGCAGGCCAGGCCAGCGCGGCCGGTGACAGCAGGGGGGCCCCTGCTCCTGACAGAGCCGCCACCAGGGCACCCCCAGCCCCAGCCCAGCCGGGCGTCCGCGGGGTGGGGGAGCGGCGGTCTGCTGGTGGGGCCGGGCCGCCCCCTGGCGGCGAGCAGGCAGGCAGCAGGCATCGGCGGCCTGAGGCCCCCGGGGGGCCGGCCAGCGGCGGACCAGCACACCCAGCGGGCAGCCCCCTCTGTGCCTCGGTTTCCTCCTCTGCAGAGCGGGGAAGGGCCCTCCCTTCGGGGTGCTGGGAGACGGGCGTGTGGAGAGCTGAGGACGGGAAACCTGACGCCGCAGTGACTGACTCCAGGCTGGCGGGGGATGGGCGCAGGGCGGCAGAGGGTCCCGCAGCCCAGGCCTGCCTGCTGCGCCCTTGAGGCCCTGGGGCTGGTCCCCGGCGACCATGCACGCCCCTCAGACAGGGCGGCCGGGACCTCGGGGGCCTTGGCAGCACCCACGCAGGGGCTCGAGCGCCGGTCAGCACCTGCAGCTGCCCAGGCCCGAGGCGGGGGCGGCAACGGGGGCGCGGGAGCCGGGGAGCCGGTGGGGCTGCAGCCCCGCAGTGGCCCGGCTGGTTCCCCCGGTGCGGGCGGCACAGGCCGGGAGCCGCCCTCGGCCCTCTGTCAGTCAGGCCGGCCGTCACCGGCAAGCCTCCCGGAGGCGCTGTGCACGCCCCGCGGGCCCTGTCCTCTCTCCTGCTGCTGGCGGGAGCCCGAATAGCCAGAGGGACCCTGGGCACAGAGGTCAGGCCACGGGCTCCTGCCAGTGCCTCCGTGATGCTTAGAAGAACCTCCGGCCGCGGGGCCCCCGGCTCCGGCCGCCTGGGTTGTTCAGCCGCAGGGCGAGGCGCCTGCCCTGCCCTGCGGCCTTCGAGCGGCAGCTCCTGGTCTCCACTCTGGTCTCCGCTCGCACGGCGATGCCCAGACAGGACGGCGCAGGCGCTCCGGCCACCAGCAGTACTTAAAGGCCTGGCAGGGCTGCCCGTCCACGCCGGGGCTCCCGTGTGGACCGGACACAGGTGTGAACAGGCCGAGGCACCCACCTCTGGCTCCCGCTCTCTCGTCCCCCATCTGGCGCGCTGGCCAGTGTCCAGTGGAAGGAAGGATGGGCCCTGGGCCTGACAGGGCTCCTGGCGCTCCGGCCTCCTCGCCCACGCGTCGCCCCTGAACCTGAGAGGCGGCGCCTGCCCCGGCGACCCGGGGAGCGGCGGGGCGCCGAGCCCAGCGGGGCGCGGGTACCTCGTAGGTGGAGCCGTCCGCGAAGCGCAGCACTCCGTGGCCCTGGCGCCGGTCCCGGACCCAGTCGCCGTCGTACGTGTCGCCGTTCCTGAGGGACAGGCGGGGGCTGCTCTCAGGCAGGGGGCCAGGGGGCAGTGTTGGCTCAGACCGCTTCTCCGGCCGGGGCTCAGCGTGCGCCACGGGGACCGAGGCAGAAATAGGCCTGGAGCAGATGGCCGGAGCGCCCGCCAGTGCTCAGTGGAGAGGAGGCCTGCCGGGCACGCGGCCACCAGCCCCCGGGCGTGCAGAACGTGGAGAGGGCAGCAGGGTGAGAAAAGGGAGGCAGACTCCAGCGGCCGGACGTTACACGGGAAACTGGTCCAGGGGCGTGAGAGGGCGCCAGGCCCCCAACCCCCCACCGACCGCCCACTAGGTGAGCGGGGCAGGGGACGTGCTCCACTGCAGGCTTGACCAGCTCCAGTGCCAGCAGGGGGGAGCGGGGTGGCCGGGGGCCGGGCCTCGGGCCACATGCTCACCGAAAGGCCGTGTGCCCTTGGCCGTGTCGCCGGTTGTCATGAAAGGACCCCTCGTACACGTTGCCGTCCTGGTCCACCAGACGCCCGTACCCTGGGGGGAGCCGAGAGCCTGGCATCGCCTCGCGCCAGCGGCAGGCGGACCCTCCCTGGCGCAGGGGGCGGTGACGGGAGGACAAGCAGGAGCCCAGCTGCCCTTTGGGGGCGGGGGGTGCGATCTGGTGCCGGCAGCCGCGGCCCCAGGGCGCGGGCCTCACAGGCCCCAAGGGGGTGCACGGCCACCCCTGACGGGCCCCCGCAGACCCACATAGCGGCCGGGGTGCCCTCGGTCTGGTGGGGGCGACGCAGCGACACGGTCCGGGCCTGTTGGTGGGTGGTTGTGGGAAGCCACGCGTGTGCAGGGGGCCCTGGTCTGAGAGCGAGCGGAGCTCGTGGCAACGGGGCTGCAGCGTCTGGGGAATGGTCGGCAGCGCCAGGCCCTTCCTGTGTCTAACGTGGGCGGCGCTCGGACGCCTGCCGTCCTGCTCGCCCTGGGGGCGGCTCGGCTCCCAGAGACCACAAGCCTCCGGCCACAAGGCTGCGCCCATCGCGCCCCTGCCCTCTTGGGGCACAACCTGCGCCCCATCCCGGGGCGGCCTCCGGTCTCGCTCTGTCCGGCAGCGTGAGGAGGACGTGACCCAGCTGGGGCCCCTGGGAGCCACGTGGTGGCCTGCGCGGGGCCAGACCCGACCAGCTGAGCGCGCGTCGCGCCTCTGACCCCGGGACTGTGGCAAACGATAACACGGTGGTTGCTTTGAGCCACTAGGTTTTAGGTGGTTGTCACACGATGGTGGCTAACGTCACAGGCACGGCCCCGCTCACACGGCACTGGGCCAGACGTGGCTCTGGGGGCAGAGAGGAACGTGTGCGCCTCCTTCCCACCCCGCAGCCACACTGGGGTTGGGCTCCTGGACCCACGGGGACGCCGGGCTCCCTGGTCCAGTGCGGTCGCCGAGCCCACCCGCCCGTGGGACCCGCTGGACGTCACACCTTCTCTCACGCCACGGGACAGCGCCCCTTCGTAACAGCCCCCGGCTCCGTACTTCATGACACCGTGGCCCTGCGGCTCTCCCAGGACGAACTGACCAGAGTAGGTGTTCCCTGGGGCGGACAAAGGCGGGGGGACACGTGCGCAGGCCCAGAGCGGCCTCCTGCGCCCCTGTCCGTCCCCTGACCACGGTGGCAGCAAGGCCATTGCAGAGCAGAGGGGAGGATCTCTTTATTTCATTCCTGACTCTGGTGGATGAGGGAACGCAGGACAAGGGGCCTGGACCTGCCCTCCCGGCCTGCAGCGCCCAGCCCGTGCTGAGCCTCGGGGGGCGCCGACGTGCGGGGCCTGTGGGGCGGGCCTCCTCTCCACTGAGCACTGGCTGCCACGCTTGCCCGCAAGGTGCTGAGGGCCTGGGGACAGGCCCTGGCCCGGCTGCAGGCCGCACACCATCCCCCACAGGGCACGTGCTGTTACCAGACACCTCAGGGAACCCAGGGTCCCCAGTTCACAGACGGCCGGGCCTTCTGCTTCCAGAGGGAGACGGTTCACGAGAAAGGGGCCAGCACATTGCCAGGCGCCCCCGGAGCCAACCTGTTGTGGCCCAGTGCCGGAAACCTTCGCCCGTGATCTCCCCGTCCACGAACTCGCCTTCGTAGTAACTTCCGTCCTTAAACAGCAGCTTCCCGTGGCCTGGGGAAACACTCTGAGGTCATGTCTGACAGTGGCGGGGAGTGGCCACCGGTGCCCTCCCGCGGCCGGGCTGTTCCCCAGAGAGAAGAGCTGGGCTTCGGAGCTTCCGGTCCCCACGTGCGGCTCCTCTCGTCCAGCAGGTGCATTGATCTTGAAAAATGTTCCTTTTTTCAAATTTTTAATTTATTTTTAGAAACAGGGGAAGGGAGGAGGAAAGATTGGAAGGGAGAGGAACATCGATGTGCGGGAGATACATCAATCCATTGCCTCTCGCACACCCCCAGCTGGGGACCCGGCCCACAACCCAGGCCTGTGCCCTGACTGGGAATTGAACCAGCGACCCTTTGGTTTGCAGGCCGGTGCTCAGTCCACTGAGCCACACCAGCCAGGGCTAAAAAATGTTCTTGACATAGAACTGAGCGCTCTGCTGTCTTGGCTGTGGTAACTGCAGAGCCATCCAAGTACAGAGGGGAGCCCGTACCCGCCACCTCCTCTGCAGGGACACTGGTCACCGCAGCCCTGTCAGTGCAAGGGCAGAAGGAGAGAGTCTGTGGACACGGGGTGACACTGAAGAACACACTCCCCCACAGATGACTCCCTCGGTCCGGGCCAGGCTCTGATGAGTCCCAAGTATGAGCCTCACGCACAGCCTGGAGAAGAGTCAGAGATGTGAGTAAAAGTGAGACGTCTCTGTGTGGCAAAAACACTACAATAAAGGTCAAAAGGTGAAAAATACAGAACATATTGGAGCCAACAGGTACAAGAACTCATATAAGGAAATACCAAAAGACCAATTCTCCAGCAGCGAGACCAGCAGAGAAGGGATGTGAGCTGGCAGAGCCGCAAGCAGACGCCAGGCTGGGAGCAGAGCTGTGGGCCGTCCGGCTGGGCGCCCGGGGAGGCCCCCGGGTGACATTCGCCGACACTCTCCAGCCTTGTGGCCGGCTGGGGGGCAGCACGGGGGTGTTGCGCTCGGCGAGCCCCACCGCTGCGGGAAATGGCCTACCTTGGGCGATGTTGACAGCGTGAGGGCCCAGTCCCGCTGGCGTCCCGTGCCACCCACCCGCCCCAGCTCTCCGCGGACTCGGGCTGTCCGTCGCGAGGTGGCCGCTGCAGGGAGAGGCCACAGCCGTTTCTTACCATGGGTCTTCCCTCCTTTCCATTCCCCTTCGTAGCGGAAGAAAGAATTCGGGTACACGTAGATGCCGTAACCTGAACGATGAAAGGGAGATGAACAGGTGAGTGCATGACAAGGGCCTGGCTGGCATCCAGCAAACACTCAGGTGGGGCCATCTGGGGGCACCGAGGGACAGCGTGCAGTCCTCCACCCCGCCCCCGGGGCTCTCTAGGTGTCTGCACTTCACCTCTTGAAACTCCCCCGCCCACAGCTGCCCAAGCTGCAGGCTGGGGGCCGGGCTTCCCTGTTTGCGGTCCATCCACCCACTCCCCTGACTGCGCACCAGACACCATGAGCACCTCTCAGCGCAGAGAGGCAGGCCCAGTGTGGGGCTTGAGAGGCCCGCGGTGCGGGAGCAGTTAGTGGGAGGGGACTTCTGAGCGGAGCCTCGTTAGCGAGAGGAAGGCGGGGACCCAGCGGGGGAATAAGCCGCCCCTGCCACTTCTCTGCAGGGCCCCTCCGGTAGCCTCCAGCCCCCCCGCCCCCGACCAAGCCCCCACTCGGCGGCTGAGCGCGCCATCCCCCAACTCCCGTTCCCGCCTCTACCAGCACCCCCGTTTGCAAGGCACCACTTGCGGGGAGCGGTAATCGGGAGGTGTGAGCGTTACCACACCCCCTCATCTGCCATCGCCGAGCGTCGGGTTCTACCTGAAGAGAGCGGCGTGGACTCTGAGTTCATTCCAGTCCCTTTCCTTTAACACTAAGCACAGCTCCCATCAAACCTCTGAACCGCGCGTCCTCGCTCGGTTCCTCCCGGCTTAGCTTCCATGCCCCGGGACTGCCGTCGCCCATCCCGCGGGACACCAGCACATTCGGAAGCGCGACCCCTTCCAGGGCCGGGCGCGATCAGGGCTCCGGGGCTCGTGGAGGCTCGTACGGGGAGCCCAGCCGGGATCGGGGGTCGCGGGTTCCGGCTCTGGGTCCCTTCCCGCCTCCCGCCTGGTCGGAGGTCTGGTAGGGTAGGGGGCAGCTGGACGCCCGCCCTGTGGCCCGGGCCTGCAGCCGTACCATCCTGTGGCGGCTGCCCCGGCGGGTCCCGGCGCTTCAAGTTTCCTTCCCTGGCAGCTGCCATCTTGCCGCTAGCGGTTTCCCTTAGCAACCACTAAACCCCTCTTCTATTGGCTCGTTGGTCGCTAGCGGCGTGGCCACGAGCGCAGTGCTGGGCAGAAACAAGCTCTGGAGCGGCGTTACCGGGCCCGTCTGAGCCTGCGCGGCTTGGCGCATTTCCGCCGCTGACGTCCTTCCGCCGCGAAAAGTCGCCCGCACCGGAAGCGGAAATGGTTGGAGGCTCTGGGTCCCGCCCCGGCGTCCATCTTGGAGGCCCGGAGGCGGCGCCGCGCAGTACGGAGCGGAAGTGCTCGGCTACCCCTTCCCGGACCCAACGAAGTGCCGGCGCGGCCCCTGCCCGCGTCCTCCTTCCCGCGGCCCCCGGAGACCGCGCTCGGGCGCTGCAGAGCCGCGAGGTACCGGCGGGCGGGCGGGGGCCGGGAGGGGGTCGGTGGTGCCGTGGCGGGCGGCAGGCGGCGGACGCTGGCGTCGGGATAGGCGGGGCCAGAATGGTCGGGGCCAGTCTAGGATCCCGGGGTCTGGGGGGGTGATCGGTCCTCTCCATCCCCTGGCGCGTCTTGGGAGGGGCTGGTTGCCCGCGCCGGTGGTGTGGGGGCGGCCGCTATCCTGTCCGTTTCCGCGCTGCGGTTCGGGGCTTGTTGGTGGGATCCGGGTGGAAAGGCGTCAGAGTACAGTCGGGTTGCTCAAGATGGCATGTTGGAAACAGCGCGAACTCGGTGGCAGAGTCTCCGGTTCTGCCGGCCAGCCTGGACCGGCGGCCCCTTTGGGTCAGTCGCCTTCGCTGGCAGCGCCTCCGCTTGGCCTTCTTGTGTCTACAGGACCTTGTGTCACGGGGAAGTTTCCAGGAGTGCGCGCGTTCTGCTCAGTTTGCTTGGTGGCTCACTGCCCAGAAGCGTGCGAGGTTGCACCCCGTAAGCGGCAGGGTCCTCCGTGCTTGGGGCTCGCTCTGGTGGAGAGCGCCCCGGGGGACCGCAGGCAGGTGCGGTGTGGTTAGGGCCAGGTGAGCCGATGCGCCTGGAAGGGTATTTCCGCGGAGGGAAGTGCTGCACGGGGGGCTGCAGTGTGTGACAGGATCCCGCGAGGGGACCGGGAGGTAGCGGAAGCTAGATTGGCCACGGCCGGAACCTGGTGTCTTGCACTTTGAGGAGTGACGGTCTCCGAAAACTGGGCACCGACAGGCTGGGCTCCAGTCGAGGTGTGGTGCTCTGTCTCTGCTGCGTTTCTCTAACAGTGAATCAGTCAAGTCGGGCTCCTCGCTTACAGCCTGCTGGGGCCCAGGCCTTCCTGGGCGGGCACTCAGCACTGCCCCAGGCAAGGGCCCTGTCCAGGAGCTTGACTTCAGGAGGAGAAAAGAGACAAAAAGAGCCCAGAAAGAAATGACAAAGTGACGGCCACATAAACAGGGTGCTGGGACCCGAGGGCCTGGGGGGAGGCCTCCCTGCAGAGCAGCTGGTGCGGCGGCCACAGCCACACGGTCCATGGGGTGAGGGGGACGGCTGGGCACCGTTAGCTCCCCGTAGCCCCGGAGCAGGCACCCAGGAGCCGGTGCCGTTCCCAGGCTGGCGGGGCGTGCGGAATGACCGCCCAGGTCCTCTGCTAGGAAGTGACAGGACTGGGAGCTGAAAGCAGCCTGTTTGACTCCAAAGTTCACACTCTCACCGTCGCTGTCCGCGGTGCGTTCGGTCAAGACGCAGAGCTGTGTTTTTGCGTACCGTTGGTCAGATCTTCTGAAACTGGCTGCTGTGCACGTGGGAGGTTGTCCAGTCATTTCTACTCAGGGGACATACTTTAAAGGGACACTCGGGCGTTTCCTCTCTTAACACCAGTCTCGTTGTCTCATTCAAGTAGCAGCGTTTTAATGGTAGACACCTTGGTCGTAAAGAAAGGAAAGGAAAGGGAACCTGCAAGGGACTCAGGGATGAAGACAGTCACTGGCGTGGCCTCCGCGGGCCCGGCTTGGGCTGCACCCCGGCGGCCGCCGTCCTCGGTCCTGCATTCCCACTTAGGTCTTTGGGAACAGCTCTCCCCGGCGGGCTGTGCGGCCGTGCCTCCTGGAAACGGGAGGCCCAGAGCCACAGCCCTGCTCTGGTCGGCCCGCGTCTCGGGCGTGCACATCTCCACGGGAGCAAAGGGCACTGCTCGCCTTCTCAGCCGCGCTTGGAAACAAACCCGACCACGGCACCAGGTTGGGGACGGTGGCGATCTTCGTCCCTGTGTCCTCGCCAGTGTAGGGACGGCCAGCGCCTCAGTCCTCTGGGTCCTTCTCAGTCCGAGGTTTGGGCAGCGGCCTGCTCTGTTGGAGGCCTCCTGACCTCGGACAAGTGGCTTAAACTGCTGAAGACGCGATCCCTCCTAGTAGAGTCGGGGGGATGCTGCCCGCCTCCCTTGGACCCCTGGGTCCTCACTGGGCAAGTCCTCGGCGCCGCAGCAGCAGGAGCTGCGACAGTCGTGGGCAGGTAGGGTTACCTCCACGAACCGATAAGGAACTGGGGCACGGGCCGCAGCCTCCCGGAGAGTCGGCTGGGACGTGCTCCTCTTGGTGGAGTGGAGGACGTGGCCCAAGAGGCCCGGAGACGCCTGGCTGGCCGCTGGCACCGTGGAAAGCAGCCTGAGAGGTGGCAGGAGGCCGTGGCCGAGAGGAGAGTCTAGGGAGCGCGGGCGGCGTGGGGGCAGCCCCAGGGAGGTGGGCGCGAAACCGTGTCCACGGCCTCCAGAGGCAGCGGTGGCTCCCGGGACCAGCAGGAGGGTGAGATCCGGGTGACGGCAGCAGGGACGGACGTCCGCGGGTCCTGCTCTGTACGCCACGTGCCCTCCTGGCCCTCCGCCACGGCGTGGCGCCGGCTGGCTTCTTTTTCTAGGACCCCTCAGGGTGAAGTCGCACAGAAGGAGGAAGTGGCGTGGAGGAAGCGCTGGGTGCCGGAAGGCCTGCTCGGGCCCCGCTGAGAGCACGCAGCGCCGCGGCTGCCGGTCACTGGTCACTGCAGAGCGTGTGTGTTTTTCTCAGTTACAGAATGTCGGAAGGTGACAGCGTGGGAGAGTCCGTCCACGGGAAGCCTTCTGTGGTGTACAGGTTCTTCACGCGGCTCGGGCAGGTGGGTGTTTGGAAGACGCACTGCGCACATGTTGGGATAAGACACTGTCGCCCCAGGACATTTTCCGCAGGGCGGGAGCAAAGCGGTGGTGGTCCCGGTGTGCGGAGCCTCGCGTTCACGCCGACGGGAGCGTGCTGCCTTCACTGGGAGCCCTGTGTCTTCCGCGGGGGGCCGGGCAGTAAGCAGGTTAGGCCTTGGGGCCACGTGTGGTCTCTGCCACACATTTGTTTTCCGGGTGGTTTTTAACGTGAGCGCTGTTCTGAGCGCCCAAGCAGTGCAGGTAGGGCGGCGGCCCTGCTCTGCCCGTGCTGTCCCCCTCCCGGCCACCCAGGCCCGTGCCGACGCGGCCCCGCTCGCCGGGGTCCACCCGCGGTGGTGGGGCCCGGCCCGTGCGGGAGCGTCCGCCTCGGGGAGGAAGTCTGGCTCAGCGGAGAGCTGCGTGTAGTACCGTGTCAGTTTGTAAAACTGAAAAAACTTCTGGAAAACGTGGTAATCATTATATCTAGGTGATGGGTGTGTCTGGACTTATATATTCTCTCTACTTTTATGATTGGTTGAAAATTTTCATAATTAAAACTTAAGCAACTTCAGAAGTAAAGTTGGACAGCGCATGCGTACTCACGGTCAGGCGCTCACGGGCACAGGTGCACGTGTACGTATATGACTTGCGAGTCGCCCAGCAGCCCCTTGGCCGCCGTGGCGCCCACTGGTGCACGCCGCATGCCGCCGGGGCTGGAACGCTCCGCGGGGCTGGGGAGCCAAGCCCCGCGCGCAGGTGGCGACCCCGGGCCCGCTCCCCACCTCGGCCCGGCTGCGGCTCGAGGAGCGTCTGCTGTGAGGCTTTCGCCCCAGGCAGCGCTGGGCGGCCACCACCAGGCTGCTGGGGCCCTGGGCCCAGCCCGAGGCGGGAGGTCGGGGGCGTGGCCGGGGCTGCGTGACGCGCCCTCTCGTCCTCGTAGATCTATCAGTCCTGGCTGGACAAGTCGACACCCTACACAGCCCTGCGGTGGGCGGCGACGCTGGGCCTGAGCTTCGTCTATGTGGTCCGGGTTTACCTGCTGCAGGTAGGTGCGCAGGGTGCGGTGGGGCCCCGTGTCTCCGGAGGAGGCGGGTTTTGGTGAAGGAGATGGTGTCTAATTTCAGTTAAGCACCAAACGTAAGAAAAATTTCCGTGACTGCCCTTCAAAGAAGGACGGTTCAGGGTTCATCCTGAACCCACTGTGCTCTTTGGGGTTCCCAGGAAAGCGCCCGCAGCGGCGGGGGCCTCGGGGCGAAATGACCCTCTGGGCAGCCGCCGCACTGCCTGGTGCAGGAGTGCCCGTGGCCTGGAGGGTGCGGCTGTGTGGGGTGCGGCTGTGTCGGCCGCGGGGGAGAGAACCGGGAGAGAACTGGCTGTCCCGCTGGGCGGGAGGCCAGCGGCGAAGGTGCTCGTGAGGGGCTCGTCCCCAGCCCAGGTGATGTCCTCCCTTTAACCGCGACTGTGCGCTCGCTCTGGCGACCCCTGGGTCCCGGGCGCTCTGGGACATCCCCAGAGCCGGGAGGAGGCCGTGCTACGCTCCCAGGCCCCGGCGCCTCTGGGAGTCCTCGGGCTCCGGAGGGCGTCGCCTCACGTTTGTGCCGACGCCCCTCCCAGCGTGGCCTGGCGGCGAGGCGTGCGGGGCCCAGAGCTGTGGGACATCCCGCTTAACCCGCGTGTGGAAACGCGTCTCGGGTGCCGTTCCTGGGGGTTGTCACCTTGCAAGGCAGCCCCACCGGCTCCCGGGCGTGGCCTGCAGGACGTCTGCGGCTCAGGGTGAATTCGCTGCGATTGGGTCCGGGGTTATTGACTTACCTGTTTATTTGTAACGTTGGAAGGGGGTCTTTTCTATGAAGACCGGGCCAGGCCCCTTGGTGTAGAGCGTGCAGGCGGGGCTGTGCGCCCGCGCCCCCCACTGCCGGCGCTTCGCTGGCAGCTCTCTGGCGGGGCAGCGCGTGCGGCTGCAGGTCAGCGCCCCGCACGTTCACGTCGTGCGGCCGCCCCGCCCGCCTCCACGGCTCCCGAGGGGTTGGGCCCGGGACATTTTGACCTCATTCTTGGCTTCCTGACTTTCCGGTCCCAGGTTTCTCCTGGGGGAGATGGAGACACCCCTGCGGGGGTGCGGTAGCAGGTGCGAGGGTCCGCAGGGCGGCGGCCCGCCCACATCGGGCAGTGGTGGTCCGCTGAGCCAGCCCGGCCCGGACGCGGGGCTCGGGGAGCCCTCCCGCTCTGCCGCGCTGCTGCTGGGAGCTGGTGGCTTCAGCGTCGGTGCATCTAACTGCGCCCTCTGCTTGTCCACTGGGAAGACCCACAAACGGTTTGAGAGAACTGTCGCTGTGGACGGTCACCGCGCTTTGTGGTCGCTTATTGTCCCTTCCCTCCTGTGAGTGACGTGTCTGCCAGCAGTTCGGCTCCCACTGGACCTGGCCTGGCCGGCCGCACGCCTCGGTGCTGCTGACCTCGCTCCTCTTTTCCAGGGCTGGTACATCGTGACGTACGCCCTGGGCATCTACCACCTGAACCTCTTCATAGCTTTCCTCTCTCCCAAAGTGGACCCTTCCCTGATGGAAGACTCAGGTAGGGGGTGACCGCCACCTGCCGGTGGCCTGGGAGGGCTGTGAGTCTGCGCCCCTCTTGGCTGCTCTGCCTTCTCGCAAAACGTCAGAAACCCAGACTGAGACACTGTTCTCTTGGTGCTGAAAACGTCCCCAGAACTTCAGTAGCTGTGATGAGCGTGTCTGAAAAATGACTCGTTAACCCTCCGAACAACCACGTTGGCCCCGGTGTGCCCGTGAGGGAACACGGGGTCGTGGCACTTGTCAGTGTCCCTGCTGGGGCCCTGGTGGCATGGCAGGAGCTGGGGCGCCCTCCGAGCTGCCCGCCTGTCTCGGCGCCCTCACCGCACTCAGCGGTCAGGCCCCTCTGCCCGGCGCCCGGGCCGTGACTGCGGGGGCCGCCAGGCCCTGAGCACCGGCAGCCCGCTGCGTGGGGGGCGGGGTCCGGCCCCCAGGACGATGGGGCTCGGCGGCTCCCGGCCTGCAGGTCGGGCAGGGCCCGCGGGGCAGGGGCAGCGCCTGGGTGGGCGGGCGCGTGGGAGAAAGGAGCGGGCGCAGGTGGACGACGCGCCCCTTCATCTCTGCCGCCCCAGGACACCCGCTGCCGCCCCTGCCCTCGGGGGCTCCTGGTCAGGGGACAGACCCTTCCGAGGGCTGGGGGCCTTTCGGGGCCGTCCCTGGAGTGGCCAGCGGCCCGTGGTTTTTCTTTACGGAATATTTAATGAAAACGTTAAACGAAGCATAAGCCTTTCACATGATGTTGCCGTACGGGGTTAGGAAAAAACTAGGAGGACTCGTCTGTTGCCTCAGCCTCTCCTGTCGCCTCAGCTTCTCCGTCTGACAGGAGGCGCCTGCCTGGGGAGGGCGGGGTCAGGGACACCCGGCCCTGCCCCTGGCACAGGGCGCTCTGCCCGCAGTTTTCTCTGCGCCCCTTTTGGGGCGCGCGTGTCCCTGGGCTGAGTCCTGTGCAGGCGAGTTTTGAAGTGATCATAAAGCACACAGCACTTCTTAAAAAGGAGACCTGATACGCGTATTTTAAAGCAGCGGGAGTCTTCAGGTGCCGCAGGGCCCCCTCTCCCCTTTGGGTAAATGACAAGGCTTCGCTCTGTGTCTGGGGCCTTTCCACGCGGGAGCGTGGGCGGGGCTTGGAGGCGGGGCCACGCTCTCCCTGACCGACACTCTCCTCTCAGACGACGGCCCCTCGCTACCAACGAGGCAGAATGAGGAGTTCCGGCCGTTCATCCGAAGGCTTCCCGAGTTTAAGTTTTGGTGAGTTAATTCCTGGAGGTAACTGGCCCTGGGGTGTGGTGATTAAGGGTGAGAACAGACTGCGTTTGCTCTGGGTAGCAGGTGACACTTTTAAAGCTGCGTGTGTGGTGAGCGTCTGTCCCCCCGAAGTGTGAGCGCCGCGCGCACTGGCCCGGTGGTCGGTTGCGGGCTGCCGGGCGCCACCCAGGCCCCGTGAAGCCAGCAGAGAAGAGGCTGCTTTCGGGCGCGCGTCCCGGGCACGCTGCAGGCTCGCGCGGGGGCGGCGGGGACACTGCTGCCGTGGGGGGTGCTGTGCTCTGGGGGGAGGCTGGGCTGGTCCCCATCCCCTGGAGGCGGCGACGCGCGGGACCTGTGGCAGGAGTGAGGGTGACAGGTGGCCAGAGCTGACCCCCACATGGGGCTCGGGGGCTCGGTCACCTCGTGTGTCCTGTATTTGTTGGGCCGGAAAGAAGGGAACGAGCTGCCACGTCTTTGTTCTGTGCTCCGAGCGCGCGAGGCCTGGCCAGCGCCCGGCACGTCTGGGGACCGGGCGTGAAGCGCGGAGGAGCTGGAGTGGGAAGCGGGCGGCCCGCTCCTGCCCGGGAGCCCCCTGAGGGAGGGGGTGCCCCCGAGGGGTCGTAGTGGGCATTGCCTGGCCCAAGGTCGCCCGTGCGCGGGGGGCGTCCGCTTCCTTGGCGCGGTCCCCGCTTGGCGCAACGCGGGAAGGACGCTTCGAGCTGCATTGCGGTTCCTGCGCTGTGTCGCCCACGAAGGGCACGCGGGCCGTGCTGCTCGGGAGCGGTGCGCTCACCTCCCCCTCCCTCAGGCACGCGGCCACCAAGGGCATCCTGGTGGCCATGGTCTGCACCTTCTTCGAGGCGTTCAACGTGCCGGTGTTCTGGCCCATCCTGGTCATGTACTTCATCATGCTCTTCTGCATCACGATGAAGAGGCAGATCAAGGTAGACCCTGGGTGGCGCTGTGTCCACCACGGTGGCATGGGGTGGGGTGCAGGCCCCGGGCGGACAGCTCTGGGGCTGGGCGGGAAGGGCCCCGGGCTGCGCCCTCCTCCTGGTCAGTCGGAGTGAGGCCCTGCCGGACTGTGACCGCGGGTAATGCCATGTCACCCTACGACAGGCCCAGGCGGGCCCGGTCTTGCGCTGGTCAGGGCGCCCCGCATCTGGGGCCCAGCCAGCCGCCCTCGCACTGGGAGCAGGCTGCTGGAGCCTCGGTTTCGCCACCTGACACGTGTCTGTCTTTCTGTCCCCAGCACATGATAAAGTACCGGTACATTCCGTTCACGCACGGCAAGAGGACATACAAGGGGAAGGAGGACGTGGGCAAGACGTTCTCCAGTTAGACGGGCCGCCGGGCCGCCCCTGGAGCCCCAGGCGGGGCTGAGCCATTGTTAACAGCGCCTTCTTTCTTCACATAAAGTAGTTGATGGCAAGGGAGTCGGATTTTCTTTCTAAAAAGGAGCTTCAATTATTGTAACCGAAATACCAGGTTCTCGAAGAAACTGGCATTTAAATGGAATTGCATTGATTTATTTTTCAGTGATGCAGGCGTTTGGACAGAATCAGTGGGGCACAGGCTGGGCGACCGTTGGGTGGGGCCGGGGGGCGCGGAAGGACCTTCCCGAGGAGCCTGTGGCCCTGTCGCCCAGCAGGAGGGCGAGGCTGCCGGAGTCCGCGCCGGAAGGAACTCGCCGTGGAAGCTTCTCCCAGGGACGCCGGGCCCTCGCCGCGCTCCCCACGTCCCCTCGGCCGAGGTGTGGCCACCGCCTCCGCCCCGGCGGGACCTGTGCTCAGCCCCCGAGGCTGCCCTGGGGGCCCGGGGTCCTAAATATATATTATATTTTAATTGTTTGAGATTATTTTGACATATTTCTTTCGTACGTAAAGACTTGACTGGTACCTAAGTGTGTGTGCGCACAGCAGCCCCTCCGGAGGTGGCGGGGTGGAGGGCGCGCCCCGGGTCCGGCCCCGCCGTCTGGGGAGTGGCTGCCCTGCATGGAGACTCTTTTGATGTGATGAAGACAGACACTCGTAAACCTTTTACTAAAGTGACTTTTTAATTCGAACTTGATTAAAGACAGTGTCCCCTTTCTCATGTGGTCTGTGTGGAAGATGCGCCCCGCGAGGGAGCCTCACCCAGAGCAGCGTGGGCGTGGCCACGGGTCTCCCTGGGCAGTGGGGGTGGGGGTGGGCCTCTCCCCCTGGCCAGGTGGCTCCCTGCCCGCCTGGGGGCCGCCTTCACGTGCATGGCCAAGGTTGAGCTCCTGCTCCACGGAGGCCGCGCGCAGACCTCCATCCTGCCAATGGTGTCCCACGGTGGCACTTGGGCCATGCGTGCCTCTTCCCCTCCCCCACGGGCTCCCCGGTCGGCCCTCGGGCTAAGGCAACGGGAGCCCTGTGCCCCCTGGAGCCTGAGCAGGGGCCCCGGGACCGGAGAGGCCCGACTGCAGCGGGCCTTTGCCACCCAGCAGAGCAGGGCCATCTCTGATGCGGGGCGCCTGTGCGGGCCCCACCACAGCCCGTGTGGCGCACGCTGGCAGGGGTGGCCCGGGGCCTGGCACAGCAGCCCTCTGGACGCCCGCCGCCTGCTCCACCCTCGCGGCGCCCTGAGCGCGCAAGCGCTGCCGTGTAGCCTGTTCCTAAGGATGCCTGGGGCCAAGCCCTGCCTCTGGCACAAGTCAAGTAGTTTTAAAAACCTGGAAACAGCATTCGAGTGGCAGGAAGGAAGCTGGAGACAGAGGTGACACCTTCCCACCCAGGGGCCTCTGAGGAGTTAGGACAACAGAGCTCCGTCAGGCTGGCCTGGCCCCAGCGGGAGCCCTGGGTGGGCGGCGCGCCGCTGCTGGGAGCCCCCAGCGTGTGTGAGGCCCGGACTCCACGTTCTGTGCGGGGAACTGGCTGCACATGCACGTTAACAGGTGGTGCGGCGCACTTCAGTGGGCCTCGACCGGGTGCCGCTTTCTTAGTCCTGTGGGTGGACCGCGTGGTTTGCAGGGGGTGGGGCTTGGAGGGCTGACGATGCCCCGAAAACAGTCTCGTTTTCAAAACCGAGCGCAACGCCTGCTCCTTCAGGCCAAGCCCTGTCACCCGCCAGGCGGCCCGTTCTCTGGCCATCGAGGTGACCGGGGCGTCCTGGGCTGCGGCTCCCCGGCCACATGCCATCTGCAGGTTCGGGTGACTGCGCGGGGCGGAGGCCCCCGCACCCCGCCCCGGGGCCCCGCCATCCGGTGCCTGTCCTGGGCTGCTGGTGCAGCGTCTTATGGGAGAAAAGGGTAAAACGAGAGAACCCTGTGGCTCCTGTGCAGGCAGCGTTCACCTCAGGGCAGAGTTATGCTTCCTCCTGGTGGTGGTGGCTCCTGGGCCGCCCACCCTCTCGTCACCGGAAGTGCCGCAGGTAGACGAGCTTCTGGGGCGGGAACTTGTCCCTGCACAGGGGACACTCCATCTGGCGGAGAGAAGAGAGCGTGGGCTGAGTCCTGGCAGAGACTGTGGCCCCCCCGGCCCCGGGCGTCTCCAGTAACACGGGGTGTCTCCTGTTCAACATGAAATAGGCGGGAGCATTTCTTTGAAGGCCGCACACCTGCTGGGGAAGCCTCAGCCCAGGCGGCTGGGAAGAGGAGCAGGGCCCAGCGGCCCAGCGAGACCGCCACTGCCCACGCGGGGCCGGGGGGCCGGCTCAGCCACCACGGCAGCTGTGCGGAGAGGCCCGGGGGCCCCACGGTGGCCGGGTGCCTGTGGCTGCCTGAGCCCCGGGGAGGTTCTGGAATGAACGGGCCTGTGCTTGGTCCCACTTCCTGAGGCCGGTGGCCCCACTCCCCAGGACCCCCCGACAGGCCTGGCCACATTCCCTCCAGCCCGGGACGGTCGGCACTCGCCTGCAGGTGCCCATTCAGGCCCCCGAGCCAGAGACAGGGCCCGGAGCAGCCTGTGCCTGGGCCAACAGGTGCACCCCCCCGGCCGTGCCCCTCAGATGCTGGGTTGGGCCCGCCTGCCAGTGCAGGTGTGCGGGGGCCCAGGAGCCAGACCCCTCCCCGGAGCCGGCACGGAGACAAGAGCCGTTCTGCACCATCTGCCTGGCTTCGGTGCAGCCCCATGCCCTGGGGTCTCAGAGAGGCAGGGCGGCGGCCACGTCCCGGGGGCCCGGCCAGCTGGGGGCGCGGGAGGGCCCCCAGGAACAACGTGCAGAGACTGGATCGGCTCCAGCCTGCTTTTGGCTGAGCCCCCACGCGGCAGCCACGGCACCTGGGCTCCTGAACGGGCCCACACCTGACTTACCTGGGGACTTTTAAGGACACCTGTCTGCCCCCACTCCTCCCTCCCCCCGCCCCCTGCCCAGAGGCCCCGGGGGCAGGCTGTGGCCTGCAGCAGCCCCCAGGCCACCCTGCACGCCCGCCTGGGAGCCTGCACGCCAGGCCCGCGGCCACCGACCTTGGTGTCGCACCACTGGGCGATGCACTCCCAGCAGAACAGGTGGCCGCAGGGCGTGGCCGTGGGGTGCCTGCGTTCCTCTAGGCACAGGGAGCACAGGGCGCTTCGGGGCACCGCCTTCTCCTCTGCGTGGCTCCTGTGGGCAGGCGAGGGCTGAGCCCCAGGGTCCTTCCCGAGTGCCTGGCCCTTGGGCCAGCCACGCCCACACGGAGGCGCCGCCCCCGGGCTGCCAGCGCACCTGCGGTGGGATGGGCTTCGGTGCAGCCTCCACTCCCGCCGGGCGCGCTGCCTCCGCCGGGCGCTGTACAGCTGCAGGAGCACGAAGAGCAGCAGGTGCAGCAGGGAGACGAGCCCCAGCAGCCGGTAGCTCGCGAGGGCCCCTGCGTCCTCTGCAGGCCGGCGGTGCACGCGGAGCTGTCCAGGGCCCCAGGGGACGGCCAGAGATCAGTGGGCGTGGAGTGGCCAGCCTGGTGCCCAGCCCCCACCCTCCGGCACTCGAGCCCCGTCCAGTGAGGCCCAACCCTGCCCTCTGGGTCCAAAGGCCAGACAGAGCAGCAGGGGGCCTCCCAGCTGCGGGAGGGGACGGGGCGCCTTCTGGGGCCCTAGCGCGGGGCGGGCGGGGCGGTGCTGCTCGGCAGCTCAGGGCTTCTCCTCCAGGGGCGAGGTGCTCAAGGCTGGGAGCCTGCAGGTCACCGTGGGGGCGGGTGAGGGTCCAGGGACCCCCACCTCAGGGAAGAGGAACCGGCAGAGATGCCCGAGAAGGAGCACCCAGCAGGGCAGGAGGACAGGCGCACGTGCTGCCACCCGCCGGTGGCAGAAACGAGGCTTCCCCGCTTGCAGGCGACGCTGTGTACCAGCCTCCCCTGCAGCGAGCGCTGGGCACAGCCACGTGCGCCAGGCCCGGCCGCCTGTGCCCAGGGGCCCTGGCAGCCCCGGGACGGGGCGCAGCCCTCAGGGGTGAGCCTCCTGTTTCAGGCCTCTTTGTCACAGCCCCTCGGCCGCTGCCCGGGGAGGAGCGTGTTTGGGCCGGCCTAGACCGATGCGGGGGGTGCAGGCACCCGGACAATGCTGCTGAGGGAGGCGGCGGGGGGCCCCGCTTACAAGGAGCACGGCACTGAGAGCAGCCAGGACTGCGAGCCTGGAGACCCCCCGGTGGGTGGGTGGGCCAGAGCGGGCAGCTGCCTGGGTGAGCAGGAGCAAGGGAGCCGGGGCGGGGAGAGAGTGGTGGCCCAGCGGAGGGGCCAGCACAGGCCAGGGACGAGGAGTGGGCTCGGGGGGTCACCGGCAGGAATACGTCCTTATGCCCGGCCCTCCACCAGGGCCGTCTGGAAGGCATGGCCTACGCTCAGAGCAAACGGCAGGGCAGGGCAGGGCCCGGCCCCCAGCTTGGCCCGCACGTGCCAGCTACGGAAGGCACACTCGCCCGGCCCTCAGGGTCTATCGAGACTGAGCAGCTCTGTTGCTTTTGTTTTTAGCAAAACGTCAATCAACAAAACCCAACCAAGGACTGTGACCCCGGCCGCGACCGGCCCACAAAAGCCCTGAAGAGCCGACCCCACACGGACGACCCGGGACGGGGCCGCCTGGGCGGCCCCGGCACTTACATAGGTGACCCCGGTGAGCCTCTTGGCCAGGTGGTAGAAGGCGCCGTGCAGGTAGAACCAGGCGACGTGGAACCGCTGAAGGCAGCCCAGGCCCTGCCTGAACACCAGCACGGCCCGCAGCAGCGCCTTCCTCTGCCGCTCCGTCAGGGCCGCCGCCTGCCGGTGCACCCAGCGCCTGGCTCCCGACCGGCCCCGCAGACCCGGTGCCAGGCTGCCCTGAGAGGGCCGGGGGCCGCTGCCGTCGCTCTGCAGCTCCTGCTCCAGGTGCAGCAGGGCCTTGTCCAGCAGGTAGGGCAGGACGGCGTGCAGTGCCACCAGCACCCCCCGGCGCAGCCTTGAGGGCACGCGGCTCTGGGACGGGTCCACCTGGATGACCCCGACGTACTCCTCCCCGAGGGTCTGGTAGCCTGGGGGGCACCCACGAGAGAGGCTGAGGCCGCCATGCACCCTGCAGAGCCCCGGCCTGCTCCATGCAGGACCCCGGGCGCCTGTGACAAGGCTTGGGGCCCCTCTTGGATGACAGGTCTCAGCCAGAGAACCGACTGCGACAGCACTGGGGGCCAGGCCCAGGACAGAAGCCCCCGGGGACACAAGAAGGATGAAAGGGGGACACAGACGTGCCGGGCGAGCGGACGTCAGAGCTTGCACGGGCCCGGCTGGGTTTAGGGCTGGTCCCTCCTTCCCGGGGCAGCGCCCAGGCCACTCCACGGACACTGGGAAGCAGCTCCAGGGGCACCTCACTCTGCCGTGGGCCCTGCTGTGCTCCGGGCTGGGCCGGGGCTGTGGGCCCCTCAGCCCCCGGGACCCACAGGGGTGCTACCTGCCAGCGTGGTGAGGCCGAAGTAGGCGACGTCTGACAGCAGCTCAAGCTCCTTTCTCCACTCCAGCCACTTCTTGGCACCTGGGGGCAGAAACAGCACTGTCCCTGTGGGGGTGGGGTGAAGGGAGGCCCACTGCTGCCAAGGCCCAGCCCAACCGCCGGTCCTCCAGGCTGAGACGGCCCTACGGGCACCTCCTGCCAGCCCTGCGGTGCGTCTCACTCCGCTCCATTCGCACCGGTCTCGCCTGGGCCACTGTGTCTCCTGGAAACCCGCCCACCGCAGCCGTCTCCCTCTTCAGGGCTCGCCGGGTGCCCAGAAGGGCCGCGAGCACGCGCAGTGCGGTGGTGACCGAGGGCACAAGCCAGGCCCCTATCCGGGACCCGGTCCCAGCTCCCGACCCTGCAGCCTGTGACCTCAGGCAAGTTCCCGGCTCTCAGGAACGCTTGTCCCAATCCGTGGGTCTGGGCATGACGAGCCCTACCTCGCAGAAATGTTTTAAGGATTAAACGAGTTACTGCTTATAAAGCACCAACAAGAGCTCCTGCGACCGAGTCTAAGCGTTTGTAGCACAGACACACCGCTAGTTCTGGTCGTGTCCCCACCGCGGGCTGCCTCGGCGGCCGCCGCGAGACTTCCCCTCCCTCACCCTCTCGCCACCACCGGCCCCGCCGTCCTCCCCGCCGCCGGGGCGCCCGCGGCACGCGCTTCACTCTCCAGCGCCGGTCTCGGCGGAGGCGTAGGCCCTGGCCGAGCTGCCCCGGGCGGATCTGGGGGCTCGTCCGCCCGCCTCTCGGAGTGGCGTCCTGGGCCACCCCCGGGCGAGACCGTCCTCCGGAGCCGGTCACTCCGCCAGCCGCGCCCTCGGAGGTTCGCCCGCGGGTGGGCCTGGGTCGCCCCCCGGCCCCAAGACCGACCCCCGCGGAGCCCCGCCCGCTTGGCCTCACCCGCCAGGCTGTGCAGGGCGCTGCCCGCCGCGCTCCGCAGCCCGCCGCGGTAATAGTCGTCTTTCTGCGCCGCGCGAACCACCTCGGGGGCGCTGGCGACCGCGGGAGCCATGGTCGCGGGGACCGGCGAGCCCCGCCCACGCAGGCGGAGCCTGACGTCACCCGAGCTGGGCCTGCGGCGCACGCCTTTTACGTCACTGCCGCGGAGCCGCTCCGGAGCGCGCGGGGGCTCGGATTGGGCAACGCGAGGGGCGGGGCCGCGGGGGGCGACAGTGGGCCCCGCCTCCTGACCGCCCGGACCCGAAGGGGCGGCCACGTGCGGGAGCCGAGTGGGCGAGCCCTCCAGGCTGGGAGGAGGGGCCGCGACCGAGGGGTGCGCCCGACCCGAGGGCGCTGGGCACATTGCGCATTCGGGTCCTGGAAGCTGACCTGGCAACTTCGCAGAGCGGGACTTGGGATGAGCTCGAGGGACGGCAAGCGGGCATCTAAGCCAGAGGCGGGTGCTGACCCCCGCGACGTGGGGAAGCTTCGCCGGCCGCCCGCCCTCCACGGCCGGCTGGGAGCGCAGGGGACCAAGGTGGTGCAGGCTCCCCCTTCCTGCGCTGCTCTCCAGCAACTCGTCATCATCTTACGTTCTGACCCTCAGGGACCTCACTGGCCCCGCCCCCCCGTCCCCCCCGCCGAGGTGCTCTGGCGACTCCAGTGTGGGGAGGGGCGCAGAATCTGTGACCCCGGTCAGAAGGACAGGACAGGCCCCTCCACTCACCCCCCTGGCGCCCCGCGCCGGGCGCCAGAAGCTCCCACCTCGGGCCCCTCCCAGCCGCCTGGCTCAGAGGAGGGACCCAGGGAGGCCTGGGGACGTGTCAAAGCCACACAGTGGAGGGGACAGCTGGGAGGGCCCAGTGCCAGCCTCCAGCCACAGCTGGTTGGGGGGGACCTGGGGAAGGAAAGTGGGAGAAGGAGGGTTGTGCAGAGGGAGGGCCGCGGGTCAGCTGCAGACAGAAGCGCCCTGCCCTGTTGGCACCTGCCGCGGGCTTGCTGGAGAGAAAGTGGGCGGGCGGAGCCCTGGGGCCAGGAGGGCTGAGCGCCACCGCCCCCCTTGGACCTGGGCCGGGAGGGCGTGGGGCGGGACTAGCAGCAGCCCCCTGGTCTCACCTCCGCTCTGCTCCCCAATCTCGGAGGCTCGGCTGCGGGAGGAACCCCGGCCTGGCCCAGCCCTGTGACGCGGAACCAGGCTGTGGCTAGGCCAGGCCGCGGGGCCGGCTCTGAGCTGGTGGGGGCCGCCCTGGCCAGGCAGGCCCTGCCTGGAGGCCAGGTCTCGACCCAGGTGGTCTCACAGTATCTTCTGCCCCTCTGCCTCTTGGGAGCGGCGCCCTGGCCTGTGCTCCCCATCTCCAGGAGGCAGAGGCTGCCTGCTGCTTTCGGTTGGCAGCCTAGGGCAGACCCTCGGCGGGGTCGGGGGCGAGGCTTGGCCCGCACACGGACCCTGAGGCCTCACAAGTTTGTGGCCAGCTCTCATCTAATCGTCTGGAACCCACAGATCCTTCCTGGCCCCAGAGACGCCCAGGCCTGTGGGTTTGCACAGACAGACACCATGCCCATGGTTTCTGAGCCAGACTTGGGGTTGGTTTAGTGGCCTTTCACGGGGTCACGGCTAGGAGGGCGGGGCCTGCCCTGGGTGCTGTCCCTCCCCTCGCTAGCTGGTCGGCCTACCAGCAGGGTCCCACCTGCCTGGGCAAGGCCAGAATCCACCGCTGAGTGCCTTGTTCTGGGAGTGGTTCCTGGGATGCCCCCGCCCCCCGCCCGACCCCGCCCCTGCCCCGCGTGCCTCCGCGTCGTTGCTGGTGCCGCAGAGCCCCGAAACGGCCAGCAGGTGTCGCCATTGGCTTGCCCGCTCTACCGGGTTGGTGGCAGGATTTTAGGGGATCAGGGAATGTCTTTTGGTTCAGACCCAAAGACAGAGCAGAGGGACTGCTCACCTGGCCTCAGTGTAAAGCCGGGAACGCGGCTGAGGGGAGTGACCGACGGTAGGCTTCAGAGAAAAGTCAGGGAGGGGGGTGCAGGGAAGCTCTTGCCCGTCAATAAATCCTCTCTCCTGTCCCCGGTGACCCCTGGTGACCACAACCTGGAGCTCCCTGGGCTACCGTGTTCTCATGTCCCAGGATTCTGCGACCGGCTGGGGCTGCGGACGAGGGCCGGGAGGAGGGTGCCCCTGGTCGCCGCCGGCCCTGTGTGAGGCTAAAGCAGGAACCCTGTCCCTCCCGCCGTTGGGGTCTTGGCTGGGCGCACGACGGGGTCTCAGGTTTCAGAACTGAGGACAGGTGATGGGCAGGTAGCTGCGGAACAGTCAACACACATGGCAGGAAGTTTCTTGCCAGGCAACACGGAGCCAGGGACACACCGGTGGCATCTCGCTGGCAGGCCAGAGTCCGCTGGCCGAGCCAGGGCGCGGCTGCGGAAGCGGGTTATGCCAGGGCTGCTCCCGGAAGCAGGCTTCTCTGTCTGGATCTCGAGGGCAGGGAAGGGGGGAGGGTCAAAGGCTCTCTCTGAGGGTTTTATTTCTTAATCAACAGCTTAAAAATAAATATTGCCAAGGGCAGCTTCAGGGTGACCAAACTCATTCCCTTCCCCTGAGCGGCCGGGCCTGTGCCCACGTGTCTCCCATGACTTCTGACCGCTCTGGCCCTGCCGAGGATGCGGGCAGGAAGGTGCGGTGCTGTGTGGGCTTCAGGCAGAGGTGGCTGGCGCTCCCCCACCCCCCGCAGCGCGGTAGCCTGCACAGAAGGACTGGGGAGGGCTCGGGCAGGCCCTCGGGGTGCAGTGCCGCTGCGCCCTCGAATGAACCCACAGAACAGGGCCCTGGCAGCCCTGGCAGCTGCAGTGGGCGTGGGGTGGGGTGAGGAGGTGGCGTGGGCTCAGGTGGACAGTGCACTCCTGCCCGGAGATGCAGAGGTCTCCCCGAGCCAGGCAGAAAGGAGGCCCCACCTCAGCTCCCGAAGCAGCGCCCTGCCAGGGGCTTGTTCAGTGGGGCGAGAGCCAGCCTGGGGCCAGGGGCTTAGGCTGGTCCAGGAAGGGGTGGCGGGTGATTCTGGGCACCGGCAGGTGGTTGGCTCCACCCGTGGCCGGGCCAGTGTGTCCTGGGCTGGCCTGGACAGGAGGGCAGGTTCCTGGTGGACGGCACTTCTACCTGGACCAGAGCCAGCCTGGGGCCAGACCGGGAACCGGGGTGGCCAGGAGGGAGCGGAGCCATCCTCACAGCTGAGCTGAGAAGTCCCGCTCAGGGGCGGCGCCTGGTCCCCAGCGGTGCACGGACTCCTGGGCCACCTGAAACGGGAGGGCAGGGGTGCCAGGCCAGGCCAGGGAGGGGGGCTGAACAGGGCCACCACTGGGCGGGGGCGACGCCGAGACAGCTGGCTCAGGTCATCTGCCTGCTCCCTCCCTCCGGCCCAGGGAGCGGCACCCACTCCGGGCACCTGCATTGGAGGGCACAGGGCAGGGGGCGGGCAGGCCCTGCCCTGGGAGCTCTTCCTGGATGGGTCTGCCAGGGGGTGTGTGCTGGAGGCTCCCGGAGACACCCTCCTGAAGGTTCGCCATCTGCAGAGACCCCGCCCCGTGCTGGGGGCGGGGCCTGGAGCCAGGAAGCTTGGGGTGTGGGCTAGGGCCTCGGTTTCCCTGTCTGCCAGATGGAGACCCGGGGAGACCACAGGACCCCCGACCTCCTTGCTACTCGTCCCCCTCTGGCTGCACCCTCCACGGACACAGGGCTTCTCAAAAAGGCGATCTGGGCCCGCCCTCTGCTTGGTCGCCCGGACCCTCTCCTCCACTCCCTCTCCAGGCCTCCGGGGGCTGCTCTTGGGGGTCACAGCACCGCCATGGCCAAGCTCTGGCCCCACCTCTGCCCTCGGACCCCCGTGGCCCCCTCAGCGCCCCTGCAGCCTGAGGGGTGGGGGGAGTCCGTGGAGGTCCGAGCCAGCTGCTCCGTGTCACGGCCCACAGTCAGCCCCTCAGGGTCAAGGGCAGAGAGGGAGGGACAGGGAGAGCAGGAACTGTCCCCAGCCTTGGAGGGGGCAGTTCCCCTGTGCTACCCCCTGCAGCGCTGGGGCTGGGTCTCCGAGCCGGTGCGGGGCCCAGGAGAGGCTGGCCCCTCCTGCCTCGGGGCCTGGGTGCCCGCTGCCCCTTCTGCTGGGGAGCCCCCTCGCACCGAGGGCTCCCGCTCACAGCTGAGACCCGGGCTCTACGCCCCCGTCTCCCCGGAGCCCCCTTTGTGCCCGCCCCGTGGCCTCGGCATGTGCCCCTCTACGAGCCTAGGCCTTGCAGGCGGGAAGGGCACAGGCTCCCTGCCCGACTGCCTGGGGGCCCCCGGTCCGCGGTGAGGAGCTCGGTGTGCGCCGGCTTAGGGACACGGGGCGCACCCTGTACGTGCCCCCCCGCAGGGACTCAGGACGGCGCCCGGGCTGCGAGGACCGATGGCTCCGCTGTCCTTCCTCGGGGCCCCAGGGGGTCGTCCCAGTCCGTGTTTGACCCTGAGCCCCCTGGGGTGGAGCCAGCACCCACCCCTCACACGGGGCTGGCAGAAGGAAGGCCCGCGTGACGGTGGCTGGCAGAATAATAATGGGGCTGCAGTGATTTATAGCTTTAATTTGAATGTTCCACCTAAAATGCCACACGGTGTGCTTGAGCGGGATATTGTGATGTTAGAGTCACATGCCTGTGATTTTGTAATAAAAGGGTTTGTAGTAAGAGGAGCGGTAACTGTGCCAGACCCTGTGTTTACGTCTCCACCTCGCGCGGGAGGCAGGTCATGGGGCGGCCTGCGGGGGCCCAGTGGGGCTCCCGGGCGGAGCGCGTGGCGTGCAGGTGGCCGGAGGCCTCGGACCTGCCCTCGGGCCCTCCGACCTGTTTGTGGGGGACCCGTGGGGCGTGTCCCTGGCACAGGTGCCAGGGTCCCAGAGCTCAAGAACACGGAGCACCAGGGGCTTTTCCAGAGCCGGGGCTGGGGGACCCTGCGCTCTCCTGTGGGGGAGGGCGCGCCCGCTTCACACACGAGGAAGCTGACGCTCGGAGAGGATGCTCCTGGGCTCTGCTGGGGCAGGCCTCAGACTGAGCTCTCACCCCGACACCCCCTCTTACCGCAGTGTCCAGGCCTT